CCATGTGGGTTGCTCCAAGGCCAGCAGGGATCAAACCAGCACTGCAGAGGCAGCAGACAGCTTCACAGCACTGTGCTCACCTGCCAGTGCCACCAGGGAGACCCTTGGAAAGGATTTTAAAACATTACATCTTTTTTTAAAATTTTATTTATTTATGCATACAAGAGCTGGGGTACATGCCAGAGATGTGGACAGGGGTTGGTGCAGGGGGAGTTAAGAGGATTCACCAGAGACAGAATGGGCAACAGCAGAACAGGCAAACTGACTGAAAAACACTGCTGAGGGGAGCAGCGGGCAAGACTGGAGAGGTCTGCTTTGCCTTGTGGGCAGCTTCCTGGCCAGCCAGGCTCGAACTCGTGCTGCAGAGGCTGCGGACAGCTTCATAGTGTGTTGCTTAACCCCTTGCACCACCAGGGAGGCCTCCAAAACATTATATCTTTTTAGAAAGCCTAATAACTTTATCCTATATAAAGAGGAGTAAAACTAATATTTTAAAAATGCACAATGCTGAAAAACTGAAGTTTAGTTTATTATTTATTTACTTTTTGATTTTGTGCTTCTGAAACTTCCAGACTGTTATCATCAGTAATGATTATTATTTCTTTTTATGTGGAACCTCTTTTGGCACCACTGGGTTCAGAAGTTTTAGTGAAGGTTAAAGATCTCATTTAAAAAGACAACCATAGGGGCCTCCCCGGGGCCTCCCCGGTGGCGCAGCAGTTGAGCGCTGGGTTGCGAAGCTGCCCGCAGCCTCTGCAGCGCCGGTTTGATCCCCGGCTGCTCCCCGGCCACCGGAGGCGGGTCCCACATGGCGCGCAGACCTCTCCTGCCGCCCGCTGCTCCCCTCAGCAGTGTACTTCGGTCCTTCTGCCTGCTCTGCTCCCTACTCTGGCTCTGGTGAATTCTCTCACCCTCGCGCACTTCTGACTGTACCCAGTGCTTGCCCAGTGCTTGAACGAATAAATCAATCAATCAATCAATCTTAAAAAAAATAAAAAGACAACCATAGCCAATCTCACACAATTGTTCATTCTTCTTACCTTTCTTATCACACAAGGTAGGAAGCACATTCTTCTTTTTTAGATTCAAGTGGTAAATCTGTGTTTTGATAACACATTTAGGAAAACTTGGAAGAAAATAAGTAAAATTTTTTTTCTTTAGGGAAATGTTCTTTTTAAAAAGCCATTAAAAGAATGTTCTTTTAAATCCCTTAATAGAAAATATATTTGTGATATAAAGTATCTTCTTGTAAAAATAGCATTGAATTAAAATTTTTTGTAGTTGTGTGTAAAAAATGTTTTAAGTCAAAACGTTTTTGAAGACATGCTTTCTCCTTTTGATAATTAACATTGACTTTCAAATTAGTAAGACATAGCAAGAGGAATCTGCATGAAAAAACAATAGAATATGTTTTATTTGGCTTACAGAAACCCTTACCCTACACTACTGAAGATTTTTCAGTATGCCAGCCAAACAGCTAACCTGTCCTGGCCATTAAATGTGATCCTTTTCTTAAAGAACACACGTGCGTGCACGCACACGCGCACACACACTCTCTCTCACACACACACACTTTAGATCACAAAGGAATATTATTCAGCCCCAACAATGAAGGACATGTGTAATCTTAAAAAAATATATCAAGTTCAACAGAGAATGAAAGATTTGCAAGGGGTCTGGATGGTGGGAGAAATAGGTTGGTAGAGTACAAATTTTTCAATTATAAAATGATTAAGATCTGAGGGCCTAAGATATAGAGTGACTACAGTTGATAACACTGTCCGATATAATTAAAATTTGCTAAGAGAGTAGAACATAAATATTCTCTCTTAAATTTATATGTGAATTCATGGATGTGTACTATTATTTGGAAGGGATATACTTGCATGCTGTGTACATACCGCAAATCATAGCAATGTGCACTTGGAATATCTTAATTTTGTCTATTAGACCTCAGTAAAGCTTCTTTAAAAAGCACCAATCCATTCAAGCCAGTGAATCTCTGAAAAGTTTATTTTCCTGTTGGTTTTCATTGAATCAGGAAATTTGCTTGTACTCAAAACAAAAACATCTCCCAGTAAGCAGTCTTCCATTAATCAATGCTTGCAATGTACTCTGTAAGTGTGAGTAGCAGCTTGCTCTCTCAGGTAAATCTTTGCCAAAGCCTCAGCACCAGACCAGATGGGAGCTTTGTTGGGAAGGGCAGATCCCTGCAGAGCTGATGGTATCAGCATCGTTTTAGATCACACAAGGACCAACTTTCCTTCAAACCCCCATTGCTCTCCTCCAGACTTAAAAACTTCACACTGGAGAGTCTTGACTTTGTCCATATAACTTAAGTTTGGATATTAAACTGGATTCACTTTCCTTCATGTGGTTCTTGCCCTGGTTTATTCAGGCCTGGGGATGGCTCCTGCCCTCAGAAAGTTCAGAGAAGTCAGAAGAAAAAAAAACAAAAAAAAAAACCAACCCATAGAATCCAGACTTGGAAAAGGCCAAAATTGCAACACAATGAATATATGTTTGGAAAGAACTGTGGAAAAGATCTTACAGAAACCGAAAGGAGAGGCACATAACACCCACTTCTTAAAACAGATACTCCCAAATTTTTGACTTCTTAAGCACAATTAATAGCAACCTAAAGATATCTCAACATTTTGGCTTTTTTAAAAAAGAAAATGTATTAATTACCTTTCTGCCTTTTCAATTATGCAGGTTAACCATGTTGTAACTTATATTTAACTTAAAATAAGAGGTACCAGTTATTAAAAATACATCTTTCATATGATCCAACAATTCCACTCTTAGGTATCTACCAAATGAACACAAAATTAAGGATAAAATTAGTAACGTGAAGAGGTATTTGCACTCCTATATTCATTTATTGCACTATTTACAATATCCAAGTTAAGGAAACAAACAACCAGTGACAGAGCAGTGGATTAAGAAGATGTGGAATATGTGCACAATGGTGTACTACTCAGCTATTAAAAAAATAGATGAACTATTGCCATTTGTGACAACATGGATGGAATTGGGTCTTACATGAAATAAGTCAGAAGGAGAAAGACAAATACCAAATGATTTCACTTATGTGGAATACAAAGAAAAGAAACAAAGGAACTAACAAAATAAACCCTAGGAAATAGGACTGCAGAATTGAAGCTACTGGAGGAGGATGGAGGGTGAGGAGGGGCAAGAGTAATCCACGGTGAAGGACTGGTGGGGGTGGGGTGGTAGCATCTGCCTGAGAAGGCATGAACCTATTCCTCGAAATCATATAAAGTGTTGTAAACCAATAATGGGGAAAAAATAAATAAGAGATGCTGCTAGCAATCTGAAATGCTAAATACCATTTCCATTTAAATTACAAGGTTGCAAAGTCAATCAGAAGGCTGGTATTTAAATTGTTTTTCATTGTTTGAATATTTATATACCAGGGCTGCAAAACAGCTTTACGCATTAGTAGTACAAACTATGGACTGAAATTCATGGCACAGTGAAAGGGGCTAAAATGCAACTATGTCAGCTTCCTTGGGTTGGTAAGTTACCAGGGACCCTGACAGAGGGTTTTTCTTCATGATGCAGGCGCCAAACCTCTGGGTGGCGCCTTTTTCCATTTTAAGCTGAGCCCAATTAGGATGCCGCAGAAAGTTACAGGATCTAAGTGATGCGCCAGTCCAGGGGGAGCCTGCACTTAGACTGTGAGCAGTGTGAGTGGTGCTCCTGGGAGCTTTCATGTGCTCCTAGTGCAGTGGCCTGTTTCTCATGGGGTCCTGGTTTCTTTGTTCTTGGAAATCATTTCCTCACATATAACCCTCTCTCATTGCCTACCCCCTGAAAATCTCTCTCCCTCAATTATTAGTCTTTAAGTAATGTATAAAAAATGATTACTAATTCTTTAAAGCGAAAGGGAAGTTTAGCCTAAGGGAAAGATGTAAAAATGTGTGTAGGGGGAATGAGCATCTTGGATTCTTGAAATACAGTAATATAACAGCCAATTCTTGAAAGTGTGGGGAGTAGGGACACCCCAGAGACTGCACCCCTCCCACAGTCAAAAATGTATGTGTAACTTTTGACACCTACAGAACTTAACTACTAATAGTCTGCTGTTGATTGGAAGTCTTACTGATAATATAATGATTCACATACATTTTATAGATATATCTTTATATACTGTATCCTTATATAAAGTGAGCTTGAGAAAAGAAAATATTACTAATAAAATCATAAAGAAAAGAAAATGCATTTCAAGTGTATTTTTCTTACTCTATATTGTTTACAAGTTGAGTCCTTGGTCAGTATTTACATCAATATTACCTTATTTATGATACAACACACTGTAGATACTATATATCTTACTAACACTAGGTATCAAGAGTGAAAAGATAATGTGAAAAACAAATTTATATTTATTGACCAGTATAACAGTTCAAGCACAGATAATGAGAAGCAGCAATATAATTGCTTCAGCATACCATAGTGTAATCAATATGGTTGTTTAGCCTATACACTAATGAACGAATCATTTTTTTCTTAATCTTTTTTCCATATTTCTAGGCTTCATCATTCATCTGTGAGTTTTTCAAATTGTCACATGTATCCAAAAATAATTTCAATATATTTAGTGAAAAAAAAATGTATGTTTGGACCCCATGCAGTTCAAACCCATATTGCCCACAGGTGAATTATATTTCACTCCACAAACACTGGTGCTAAAGAAAGTTAGCCTAACTCACTGCAAATGCCTATCATGTAAGGCCACAAGGCATTCTGATGGCAGGCAGGCACACTCCACTGCATGAGCCTTTCCCTCTGATGAATGGCAGTGAGTCCTTCATCCCCAAACAATGAATAGACACAAATACGTCTATAGATCATCTTTTTCCTAATTCTGCTTAGGAAAGCGAAGGAGTAAGAGTAAGGAGAGAGGGCAGGGAATGTTTTATGGGCTGTGGTGATATATAAATATTCTTACTATTACTCTGTTTTACTCGTAGTTACAAGAAGACACAAGAAACTCTGAGTCATGCAGGGCAGAAGGCGACTGCGGCTTTCAGCAATGTCGGGACGGCCATCAGCAAGAAGTTTGGAGACATGAGGTACTGTGGGAAAGAACCAGGGGAGTGGTGCTAAGCCCTTGATTTTCCCAAGGAAGGGGAACATTGTTGATTTGCTGGTCTTTCTAATGTATTATCGTTGGGGGGATAGAAATTGTGTGACTGAGATAAATTTTTATATAGACCTTCCTTGACTTATAACCAGGTTGATGGGGGTTCTGTCTTATTTCTATGTAAGTTGAAGAAGCATTTTATACATCTAAGCTCAGCCTAGCCTTCCTTAAATATGCTCAGAACTCTTATATTAGCCTACAGTTGGGCAAAATCATTGATCACAAAGCTTATTTTACAATACAGTGTTGACTAGCTTATGTAATTTATTGTAATTTACTAAAAGTGAAAACCAGATAATTGTCTGGACTCTCACAATTAACATACACAGCTGAAAGCTGAAGGATGTTTGAAGCATTGAGCTACCGTTAATTGCTGGATAATGGGGACATGCATCAAGCTCTCTTTTGATGTCACTCAAGAATAGCTGGTAGAATATGCTGTAGAGACACAGTGTTTACCCTCGTGACTGCTTGACTGACTGGGAGCTGTGGCTTCCAGAGAGATTATCATACTGCATGTCATTAGACCAGGAAAAGATAAGAACTCGAATTTTGATGTATCGTTTCTACTCTATGTGTAGCACTTTCACACCATTGTAAAGTTAAAAAAATCATAAATTGAAACATCTTAAGTCAGGAACTATCTGTATTGGAACATTTTCTGCCTGAAGGTCAGCTAAGTGGGTCCCAAAGATGCCCTTTCCACTAGACCCGACCTACTAAAAGCAGAAAATAGAGGGTGTCTTTAATCAGTAGTAATGAGTAGAGATTTCAAAGGATGCAGCACATACTTAATCATTGTGATTTAAAGGATAATTTAAAATATGCATTCAATGATAAATTGTTCTAGATTTTTGTGCATATCAACTTACTATATATTTTTTCTATCTAAACACGTATATATTTTTATTCCAAAAAAGATGTCATATGACATATACTTCTAACAGTTTTTTTTTACTTTACTACTATATTGTGAATATAGTAGTTATAACATATAATATGTTAATGTATATTTCTTAAGTCTTTATACCTTTATTTTTGATAATTATATTACTCTTCCAGTGCATAGCTATAGCAAAACATTTAAACAAATCTCCTTGCACATTTTGGTTATTTTCAGCATTTCAATATTATATAAAATAGGATGAATATCAAGGTAAATTTTGAACAGATGTTCTCACTAGGCACTGGGAAAACAATGTAGTATTTTTTTTTTTTTAGGCTTTTTAATTTATTTATTTATTTGTTTGTTTTTTTTTTTTTGTTTATACATGCACTGGGTACAGTCAGAACACGGGAGGGTGAGAGAATTCACCAGAGCCAGAGCAGGGAGCAGAGCAGGCAGAAGGACCGAAGTACACTGCTGAGGAGAGCAGCGGGCGGCAGGAGAGGTCTGCGCGCCATGTGGGACCCTCCTCCGGTGGCCGGGGGGCAGCCGGGGATCGAACCGGTGCCGCAGAGGCCGCGGGCAGCTTCGCAACCCAGCGCTCAACCGCTGTGCCACCGGGGAGGCCCCCAATGTAGTATTTTTTTTTTTTTTACTTTTTATATTATATTATATAGTAAGAAATTATGTAGAGTTACTACTCATATTTTTTTACTTGCTTTTAATTTTTTTAATTGCCTATTTTTTTTAATTGCCTATCATAATTTAATTTGAATTTGACTGATAATGCTTAATATTTTAAAAATCATTTTTGTTCTCTCTAGGAATCAAACTCATACTTTTAGCTTTCAAGTACATTTCAAACTTGTTCCTTAAAAAAAAAACCTGCATATTATTTCACTGAATTCTTAAGCTATTGTTTTATCACCCTGAAGCTTTGATACTTAAAGGCAAATATCTATATTTTTATATTTCAGTTATTTTTGGCTTCAAGAACTGCTGGGTTGTCTCATATTTATGCACCAACTAGCATCATGGCATGAGGAGCTAAATAAGTTAGCTAAATAAGCGCATGTGCCTGAATCTGAGTACACTGTTTTATCTTTCATTTGTACTAATGCAATAGTGAAAAGTCATTGAAATTCTTCAGAAGCAGCATCTGAAGAACAGATAAATCAGTTGGATTAATATTTAACCATAATTATATTGTTATATTTGAGAAAATATACTTCATGTTAATAACATTTGTTCTTTACATACTTTGTTGGAGTCTTTCATTTGAATGCCAGGACCTCATAGTATTTAGAACAGTGTTTCTCCAACTTTAGTGGATCTTATAAACACCTCTGAAGTTTTTCCAAATGCATAATTCAGGTTCCACCTCTCTGAGATTATGCCCCAGCAGGTCAGGATAGGGCTTGGGAATCTGCATTTGTAACAAGTTCCTGCTTCAGTTGTTCAGATTATAAGGAGACCAAATCTAACTTACCTACACCCATATGTTCTCAGTTCTGAAATGGGATAAGTATATCAACCCTATCAGGTTATTATAAAAGTAGCAGAAAAGAGCCTGCTGTGAATTAAGTGTTCAATAAATGCAAGTTTTTAATCTTTACTAAGTAACTCTCTCAATTACAAATTGGCTCCAGATGAGGGAAAAGTCCATATGCAGGAGTGAACCATGTTTCATAGACTCTACTTGTTTCGTTTAGTAAACAAAGACTGTTTCACTTACTTATTTTATTGAAATATTTGTGTCCATACACATTGGGTATAATATCAAGATTGTGTTGACTGCATTTTCTCCTGTTTCAATGAAGCATTGTTTTAGTGTAATAGATAACCTAGTTCCCAAGAGGTCCAAACTTTTCATTATTTATTGCCTTATAGATTGGCCACAACAAAATTGCAAAATTTGTAGCTTCTTGTAGCTAAAAATACTGGATAAAAATTAGAGCCTCAAATATGGTCCTACAATATTTTGTACAGTTTGCAAAATTCAGAGCTATGTTTTTCTCAAGCTTTAATATCTAACGTTTGTTTATAAATAAGGATACATTCCTGTGAAAATTTTAAACTGTGTTAAACAAGTAATATATGTAAAAGTCATATTTGGAAATTGCTTAAGTTCAACTAGATTCACAAATGAGAAAAATTAGTTTGTCTTGATTTTTTATTGATAATATGTATTACAGATTTGCTAATTTGTAAACTGATAGTGAGCAATTTTTAAAATTTATTCCTGTTGTACTTTTCACCATTTGGGATAAATCTCTGCAGTTATTTTTATTTAAATATAAAATATATTTTCTCTCTTTTATAACTGGAAAAGGAGAGTCTCACCCAGGTCCTTGGCAACATGAGTGAGGTTTTCACCTGCCGGTTCGCCTTCTGGGAGCCAAGAAACCTTTTTCCAGGACAAATCCCCAAAAGACCTGGACCTTTGAGTACCTCAAGACTAGATTAGAATGAGGAATGTGAGATGCAGCTAAAGAAAAGATTTATTAAAAAGCGATAGAGCAATAAAGAGAGCCTAGAGAGACCTCCTAAAACAGAGAGGCTCTTGGAGGTGCCAAGCTAGGCATCTATACAGGTTTTAACGCTGGCGTTTGAGCCCAGCATGATCCGTTTCTTGTTGCCAGTTGTGAGCACCAAAAAGTTAAAGCTAGGTGGTTGTGCAGGGCTGCAGACCGTTTCATGGGTGAATAATTCATAGAGAAACTGTGTCCACAGTGCCAGTCTGACCCAGTCTTCAACAGGTTAACTTAAGCTGCAAAGGCTGGGGAATGCACAGGCTGGGGACAAACTAGAAAACAAAATCTTATGGGCCAAAGACATTTATGGCATCTGGCCTCTGGGCCCAGAGTCAGATATATTTGACCTCGTGTTTACCAGGCTGATAAAAACAATGGAATCAGCAAAGTTCTGTCCTTGAGTCCTGTCTCTCTCTCTGTTCCTGAACGCTTTTATGAAAACACAGGACTTTCTTTCACAGATGTGATATCTTTAAGAAAAAGTATATTTAAATATATACTCATAAGTGTACATGTTATTAGAAAAATGTATGTTACAGAAAATAGACCACATTGCATATTAATTAAGTAGTTAAAATAATAATACAGATTGTGAAAACCTCACATTTGGAGCTTTTAATAATGGAACAAACAATATTATGTTAGGATTTATTTGTTTTGTAAAAATAAGTAATATTTCTCAGACTAAGATTTTCAGCCTGATTCCATTAACTCCTCTTGGCCCAGTCTCTGTCTCTTTCTCCATCTGTAAAGTACTATTGCTAATAGCTGCTTAACTAAAGTGTTTCCTGTGAACTTAAAATGAGGTCACATTTATGAAAGTACTCTGAAGAAACCCAAGCAGTTGTAATCATTATTATAATAATATTTGCGTCCTCTTGTAACTTCGCCATGAATTCGTTCAAACTGTGATCTCCTGGAGATGAAATGTTTGGAAGAGGCAGATCATTTTATTAGAGAGTCCAGCCATCTCTATCCAGGAATGTAATAGTTAGAAGCACAATTTAGATAACATATTGGTAATTGTTAAGAAAATTGTTAAGCACATAAAGATGTTAAAAAATGAATGTACTCAAAAAGAGTAATCAATGGACTTACCTCATCTTTGCTGTGGGGCGCTTGAATGGGCAAGCAGTCATGTCTTTGCATCCTGCTGTGCTAACTCTACTCCTTTCTCTCTTGTGCCTCCTTGGCTGCAGGTCCCACTCCATAGGGTAAGCTCAGCCTTGGGGGAGGGCCCTGCTGCTCCCTGACCCCTCCCCTCCTTCCCAGAGACCATTTCTTTCACACAGTGGCTGTGTCTCAATGAAAAACCTAGATCTCTTTTCCGGATAGTGTTGGAGAGATGGGGCAGTTACAGTTTAGAGGGCTCCTAGTAGATCTGAATTTATTTACACACACATTCATTTCATTTCTGAAACATTTACCCCAATTTCACTGGCCGAACTGTCTCCTAGGAATCACTCCGGCCTACATTGACAGAATTGCTTTGGTTTGAAATAAGAAAAAGAGAGAAGTGGAAACTGAGAGTTGTATGTATTTCATAAAACATTGAGGAGAGTCAACATAATTTTTTTTTCTAGATTGCCATGTTTTTCTGAATTTCATGTGATTGTTCTTTTTACAGATGACTCCCCTTCAACTTTCTGTACTTTCTGAAGTTAAAGAGAGAAAGGTTAAAGAGAGAAAGGAAGTGTGTAATTGTCTGGTCCCAGGCCTCTGAATTAAGCCTCTTTTGAACTGGAACTTTATTATATACCTTTGGGGGGAATTTTTTTCTGAAGAAAAATATCTTGATAAGACTGATGAATTACTTTGAATAATTCTTGTTAAATATAATACCCCATGAAATATTCTGCCCATAGCTTCTGAATGTCTAGGGGAAGGCCACAGAACCCCTTAAGTTTCTTTGGCCTTTTTTTTTTTTTGAGTTCTAGTGCAGTGTTCATGACCTCAGGGAGCACTAGCCCCTCAAAAGTAGGCCCAGTTTTGCTTCCACCCTCTGCCCAGCCTGATTCCTGAGTGGAACTTGCAGAGACATAACAGGCATTCAGTTAGAGGGAAGATGAGTCAGCTACTATAGGATTAATAGCATGAGAAGACTGAAGTTCTCAGCATCCTCAGAAATGTGTCTAGAACCTTGTACCAAAGGTTCTAGAATAGATGCCAATAGTATCTGCTCCAAGTTAGACTCCATTGCAATCACCTGGCCTGTATTTCCTTGATTGCTTCTTGTTATCTACATATATTCCTCTGTGGAGTTTCTCCTCAAGGGAACAGTTAGCTTTTACCTGCCTGACTCTACACCCTGGGCAGTGCCCTTTGCCCTGTATTGTCTTCCTGAACAGGAAATGGGAGTGGAGAGGAGGGTGGACCCCAGAATAAGTCCATTGGCTGCTGGGCTTACCTGGGGAAACCACACCTTCTTCTTAGCTTTCTGGGAACCTACAGAGAGTAAAATAACATGCACCTATGAACCAGCTACTCTTCCTGTATACCTTGAAAGCTGACTATGGCCTGTCCTGCCCAACAAAAAGCAAATGTCATCCTGGTGGGGTGGGCAGGGAATGGTTCAGATAGTTAAAACTGCTATTTTAAAACTGTGATGGGAAGTTTCTCATGTACTTATATTGTGCTGTCTTCTTTTTTTTCCCCCTTAACTGCTTTTGCCCTGAAGCTACTCCATTCGCCATTCCATAAGTATGCCTGCTATGAGGTAATGTGTGCAAATTATTTTACATCATATTAATATAGAATGTGTATAAAGTGCTATTGATGTTTGCTTCGTGAACTTTTTCCTCCTTTATATGAAAGGAAGTGCAATGGCCTACCTCATTGTCTTTTCTGATGGACCTTGGGAGAAAAGGCTAGCAATTCCCAAGAGCTGTAGTGTAACAGGCCTGGGCTTTTGACAAGATGTGTTGGCTCAAATCCATCTTCTTCAAATTATGTCACCTGAGACAAGTTACCCAACCTATCCCAATCTCCACTCTCTTATCCATACACTGGGAGAAATAAGACCTACTTCACTTCACTGGGCTGTTGTGGCACATAGCCAAAATAATCTGTGTAGAGGACTTAGTACAGGATCCAGAATATCCCATGTACTCTTGCGAAGGTGGAGATACGCGTCTTATTTCAGCATGATTAAATACAACCCCAGGAGAAAGCTTATGTATGTATGTATGTATGAATGTATGTATGTATTTATGTATTTCCTGTCTTTGTCTCATTTTACTTATTTTTTTTGTTAAGTTATATTTATTGAGGCAGTGTTGTAGAGGTTTACACCTCTACAAATATATGTTATTTCACCAAACCCACCACCAAAGAAAGAATAAAAGACTAAGAGGACAACAGTTCTAGAAAAGACATTTTTAGAATTTCTTAAGGTAGATATTAAAATAGTGTCTGATAAACAATAAATATGTGATTAAAATTACTGGCCAGATGAAAACTTCTGAGAACGATGTTCCCTGTCAAGTTGTATGGCTTAGTGATATGATAGGATAAGATTACACTGGTAGTGAATAGAGGAATAATTGTTAGATTGGGAATCAGAAGATGCCGGTAATAGACCAGCTCTATCAAGAATGAACTTTGTTGCCTTGGAAAGGCACCTCAGTATTATCATTTTCATCATGTTTAAAATAAGAGGCTAGGAGCATAGTTACTGGTTGTGCCTTGTGCTCCCTAGAGCCCTCAGGCTGCTTTGGGGTGCCATGGTGGGGGCAGAGTGGAGGTACCAACCTAGGGGGCCCTTCTCCCTATAGTTAAAACTGTGCCTCTTCTACCTGCTTTGTATTGTATGTTGTTGGTGTGAATATGTCCTAGAGGAGGTTCAATTACCCTGTAGAGTTTGAGACCACTGAAGCCAAATTCCTTCTGTGTTCATTTGCAGTGCTAAAAGTTTGTGGTTGTATATGATGTGATTAAATATGAGTAAAGTTTCTCCCTGTTCTCCAACATGCATTCTAGTATAATTTAGTTTAGGAATGTCTGTTTTATCTTGTCTGATGATGTCTCTTCTACACTGGGGTCATTTGGTTACTTTGGAAATTTAACCAGAATATTTTGATTTCCCTACATGGTGATAGAGAGCTTCAAGATTGCTTAGTCTGTGTTTGAATGACTTCCTCCCCCTAGCATGACACTCAAATTGAGCAGTGCAACTTATGACTCTGAGCTTCTTTACTTGTTAAATGTTACATCTGGGTGTCCAGAGAAGGCTTTGAAAAAAATTAACATGGTTTTGTTGTGTGAACCAGGAATGCATCTAATGGCATGTACATCAATGAAGCCCTAATGAACAGAAATTAAATTTTCATTTTGAAAAGGCATACTCATGTACTGTATGCTTATGATCCATTAGGCTGAGCCATCTCCCCATGGTGGTGCTATGTAACTGATGGATGATAAACAGTTATGTAGGCAGGCTTGGCAAAATAAAGCCTGCAGTGGACGTCATGTGCTAATAAGTATATACGTTTGTCGTTCCAATATAACTTCACTAATATTTCATCATGAAACAGAGGTATTATGGAGAATTCCTAGGGAGTTGACTCATGTTTGAGTCATATACAAGATGTGATGCTGTGCTTGAATGCTTTGAACTCACTGTTGTTGAGTCATATAGTCTAATGCGAATGCACATCTGGTCATCTGGAGCCTGTGTGTCAGGAGACAATCCCACAGTCAAATTCACTCAAAAACTATTCTCTATGCTAGTTTCTCTTGCTAGTGTTAGAGCCGTGCTTCATCCCACAACCTACAATGAAGCCCATATTTATTTGTGACTTGTTCATTGTGTTAAATAATCTGTGTTCCATCTTGTTATTTTAAGCAGTAGATACTTCATTTGGTGCATTTTCTATATTGAATTTTGCCACATGGTATTTTGAATTAATGACCTCATTACCAGTAAAAACATCACCAAGTCCAACTAAAGAAACAGGATCTCAACTAAAAAATGTATCATTTTTAGCTCATTCTCCTGTATGAAGTTTCTCTAGGCCATTCATCACTTTATTTCTTCTGCACTCAAGAGAGATTAACAAAATATTTATCAAATATTGTCACATTCAGTTAATTATTTAACCTGAAATAGTGGTAATTGTTGTTGCTGACATGGATACAAGATTTAAGATACGTTCTTAGTTCAGATCCTGTTTCTTTTGTTGGACTTGGTGATATTTTCAATGGTAATGATGTCATTAATTCAAAATGCCATATGGCCAAATTCAATATAGAAAATGCACCAAATGAAGTGTCTACTACTTAATATAATAAGATGGAACATAGATTACTTAATACAATGAATAAGTCACAAACAAAATGCCAATGGACTGCAAAGGTTCTGTCTGCTAAGAGAACAAATAGTTACAGCCTTCTTGGGGAAGGAAAAACACTCATTACATGATCACAAATCAGACAAATAATGGGTATATTTAAACTTAAATAATGATAACATTGACTTTCAGAAATGCCACCTCATGGAGGTTAACAAAACGATCACTTTTTAAGGCATGGAGAAGAAAAAACTTCTGAACCCTTTTGTTCTTGTGCTATTTCTGTATTGCCTCACACTCACTGAAAGAAGGGACTTTAAAATTCCAACTGGGAAAGTCAAATGAGATATTCTTCAGGTAGACTTTCCACTGATTATCAAAAAGTGTGAGTTGGAAAGAAGAGTGTTGTGATTTAAAAAAACAATTAATTAGTAAAAGAAAAATTAAGTTATCACTCCTCTGACTCATTGGAAATGATTTACAATGCACTGTAGTATTACTGCCATACCCTTGCCAAGTGTTTTATTACTTATTCTGTAGTTGAGTATTTTACGTTGTAAAATTCTATGTGAAGTTGAGGTTTCTGGGTCTTACCTAGCAGAAGTGAAATGTATTTTAAAAACATGCTTGGAGTAGGTGGCAGATCAATAGCTAACTCTGATGCAGAGGTGATATTTACAAATAAGAGCAGAAAACCAGACAGCATGGTTGCTAAGAAGTAGGTCTTTGGAGCTGACCTCTCTTTTTCTATTTTAGGAATTCTCCTACTTTCAAATCTTTTGAGGAGAGGGTTGAGACAACTGTCACAAGCCTCAAGGTACAGATGAAGTGATTTTGTGTCATTGGGTCTTTAAATCAGGACAGCTTAGTCATCGCTGTGGTTAGTACAAAGGCAGGATCCCCAGCATTCCCTGCAGCCAAAAAGCAAATCTTGCAGTTAGTCCTTTTCTTCACATATCAATCTATAAATAAAACCAGTATTGAATAGTGTTGTATCCTCACAGAGTTGTTTGTGTAAGTCATTTAGTTAGAACTTTTAATACTCTTCCTCCCAAAGCCAATTTGTGAGAAAGGATTGTGGACAGGACAAAGGGTATGTGAGTTCTGAATTAAGAGTGTAAATAAAAGCTTACACTCTTGAAGCTCTCCAGTTTGGAAATAGACTAACAAAATGAGTGTGGCTCTATATTATCCTGCTATCCGCTACCCTTCAGTTACCTACACTTGCTTACTTAATTTCCCAAGCTTAGCAAGATTACCTGAGGAAAAATAAAACCAAGTCACAAAATGCATTGTTTTGTAAAAATGCATTGATCCCTGATTATAAACCGAAATGTGCTTTAAATGGTAGGTGCTAAAAAATTAATTGGATTTATTGTTTGAGCATGGATAAATCAGTCTACAGAGGAAAAAAAGAGCAACAATAATGTCTAAGTCTTAATATGCATAGAACTTTCAAAATCAAGAACTGCTAAGCTTACTTTTTAAAGGTACTGCCTTAAATAATGACAATTTTATGTGATATCATTATTCTGCATACAATCTATTTCCTATTTCCCTATTACTGGGAAAAATAAGAATACATATGACCTTTAACCAGGAGACAGGCACATGCTGTGTGTCTAGCTGCAGCTCATCCCCTATTGGTCATGAGCTTCCTGATAAGGACTGTGAGGGCATACATTCTTCCTTACTCGATGTTCTAGATGCTCTGATTGATTTTGACCTGGAGGGCCCATTCCCCTTAGAGGAGGGTCTTCATGTAGTCTTCTACTTTATTGGGCTTGTGATTAGGTGTCTAAGACCAAAGAGGAAATGATTACTCAGCATTTGCCTGGCCTTCTTTGGCTTCATTAACCAGTAGCTTCTATTGTGCAATTTCATTACCCTCCTTGTCGACATCATCACTTAAAGTGTACAGGGACCAGTCGACGCCATTAAATTGCTCCCATTTGTAGGAAAAACTTTTGATAGGGAGGAACATGCAGCGTTGCAGACATATCTCTTGCTGAACTGTCTAGTAATGAAACAAAAAGGTCAAAGGAATCTAGCAGTCAATTTCTCAACATTTGGTTCTCAGCCTTAGACAAAACAAGGAGAGATCCTGTTGCTTGTTCGACAAGTTCTAATGTAGGAGAAGTTGTACTTTTTAAGTTTTCTTTAGAAGAAGGAGATATGAAGAAGCAAAAGAACAATGAAGAACAAATATTATCATTTGCTTTTAGGAAACACTGGTAAGCTTACAGCTCACATGTGATTTCAGTGCTTGATCCACATTTTCAGCCTCTCGCTTTTCTTAGCTTATCTGCAGATTAAATACTATCCAATGTCAAGATCTCCTGAAAATGGATTCAATGTCTGCATGATTGTGTATGGGTCTAACAAGACTCACATGATTGTGTATGGGTCTAACAAGACTCACAAGACTCACTTCACCTCCTCTGTCATGGTCAATGCCTGGTTTCTCTTTTTTCTGTCTACCCAGGCAATCGATAATAGCAAGTAATTATACTTTGTGTGAGACCTCCCGCTTCCTCAATAATTACAAATTACTGATTCCTTTTATCCCCTTCAGACTAAATAATAGATATTCAACCTGTCATGTATTTTCTGCAGATTTACTTTCTAAATCTCCAAATTTTCTAGAACTTCTATTATGAATCTAGACTTTTTTTCTGAGGAAATGACTCATAAATCAGCAAATATGAGTGAAATTCCTTGCAATCTATTGTGCTGTATTTCCATGCACCTTTATGACTTTAAGCTTGATTTTTAAAACACCACTTGAATAGAATCATGTTCAATTATTTGTGTTCTATTAGAAATAACATTCTGCTAGGAGCTAAGGTTCATTCCTGCCACCTTCTCACACAATCTGTCACATACCATGTGGCATTTGTACCCAATCAGTTGCTCTTCCTTTATAACTGATTCTGTAGATGGTTTGCTTTATGATGGAACATTCTCCAGTTCATTGTAATCATTTAAAATCTAGTCCTTTCTTGTAATACATCAATGTATTGCTTGATGGCATCTCAACTGAAATCACCTATACACTTGATGAGCACACTTAAGTCATCTAAAACAAACAAGCAGACCCAGGACCAGCTCCTGTGAAACCACATTTGGTACATTTTCCCATCCTCCAGTCATTCAAGAGTAAGTACATTCCTTTCGACTGTTCTGCACCCAGGTCAAGCAGACCATATTCTAAGAGCACTTACTTTTTGATGAATATATTATATGCCCTAAATTAAAACCTTAAAAAAATGTGAGATATATTATACTTACTGTATCTATATGTCCTTTCAACCAGCTATTTTGTTATACAAGATAGGTAGCCCAAGTCAGTAATTTAATTAAGTTTTTTGTGCATAAGCGATTATAGTTTTGGGGACAAAGTGACAGATTCTTGGATAAAAACCTGTTGTGAAGAGAAGGGTTCTGGAGAGGTTTATTACTTATGTCTTTGCTTTGGCAGGTCCTTACGTAAAGTACTGTTGAGTAGTCATTAAACCCACGTACTTAGAAAACCTCTTTATTCCACTCTCCTCTTTGCCAAATTGCTTTATTTCAAAATACTTCCCTTGTTCTCAATTATTCTATTTTGATTTGAGAAAACCTAGGGCTAGAAGAGAAGAATGAAACAAAACTCAGAAGAAAATGTCAGTAACTGATATGCACCTGATTCAAACATCTGTGTGATTTCTATTGTAAAAAAGAATGGGAATTTTTTTTAAAAAAAAAAGTGAGGAGGAGGGAATGGGAAGCAGTAATAGAGTATATGTTACAGTCAATTAATCTTATTTCCCCAGGAAAAAAATAAGCATAGTGAAAAACACATAATTGAAAACAATCACCCCTTCTTCCCAGTGCTAAGATGACAGAGTTGGGGAGGAATCAATTACTCTGGCAGAGATTTGCCAACTAAGGTTTGGGGGCTAATTCCAGCTGGTCACCCTTTTCTGAATGGCTAGTAGGCTAAGGAGAGCTTTTAAATTTGTTTAATAGCTGAAAAAAGTCAAAGGGAGAATTATATTTTGTGACATGTAGACATTACATAAAATTACATTTTAGTGTCAATACATAGTGTTTTGGGAACACAAACGATGCTTACGCACTATAGCTGCTTTCTATAGTGATTGATTTGAGTATTTGTGACAGAGATTATGTGGTTCCCAAATCTAAACTATTACTAACTGACCCATTCCACAACGAGTTTTCTGATCTGGAGCTGAGTGCAAAAAATTCAACTTTGTAACTGAATTTAAAGAGGCAAAGAGGGATTTTAGTGACAACTGGAGAAAAGTGTGTGTGTGTTTTGCAATGAATGAACTGCTGTTAAACCCTGGCTAAGTTTTTTAAAGGGCAAATGAGGCAGGGAGGGGATAAATGGTCTAGTAAGAGTGATGCTTCTGTTAGCAATCACTTTGGAGACAGTGAAGCATAAAAAGCAATTTGGGAATCACAACATAGATATATTCTATACCTTTTTTTTCCTCAAAAATGTTTTTTCATATTGTTAATGGTTAAATTAAGGCCAGTTTGATCATTTACATTAAGCATTTTGGACCACTACATATTCTTTCTATATTTTTCAAAATACATCACCATATTTCTTGATTATAGATTGATTTCCCCATGATTCTATTTGTTACCAGTAACAAGAACACTAAAAAGGAGACCCGGTAAAGTATTGTGACTTTGCATTTTAAGGCATATTAGTCCTATAAAGACAACTGTCTAGAAAGATGTGAAGTGACAGTGCTTAAGATTTGGTTTGGGATCTCCAGCTCTCAAAGCCAAGACCAGAAATAATGCTAAATTGGTCCTCTCTGCCTTTTTCAGGAAACATTTATCAGAAGGCAAGGTTGTTTTGCTAAATCTCAAGTAGTAAACCTAAATTGAAGTCACCTGAACATGTCCATACATTGGTAAAATTGAGGGATTTTATCTAAAATTAGTTCTCCATTGATTAAATTGGTTTTCTGAGTGAATGGGTAGATGGAGCTGATCCGTGGCTTTATATATGGCCCTGGAGGACTTGAGAATCTTAGCTGGAGAGGAGACAATTGTACCAAAACTTTGCAGAACTTTCCCAGAACCCAAGTATGAACGCCTCCTAGCACTCTGCTAAAGGAAACAACTTCTCTCCATCCTTTTCATCCCTTTAAGAAACAACTGATTTCCGAACTTGAAAGTAATCAAGCTTTCGGCTTTTTTGTGAAAACACTGCAAAATAATATTAAATGACTATTTTATTTATTGTGTCTCTACCGGTTTCAGACGAAAGTAGGCGGGACGAACCCGGGCGGAGGCAGCTTTGAAGAGGTGCTCAGCTCCACAGCGCAGGCCAGTGCGCAGAGTACAGCGGCTGCCAGGCGCCCCGAAGAGGAACTGCAGTGCTAGGGCCGCGGGGTGGGGGCCCCCACCTCCCAGCTTGCCCCGCCCTGCTCCCCGATGTAAAGACCAAATTCCTCCTGGGAAGGATTCAGGCCTTGACCTTGTTCTTATGCCCTCTCCACAGTTTAATACAATAATTTCCATTTGCATTTGTGTTAATCATGGGCCACTTGACCATCACACTTCAATATTTCTATTAGCATATTTAAAATATCCTCAGCTTCAGAACACAGAGGGTCAAATCCCTGTCTTCATGTAATTAATTTCCAAACACAAAAGCTATTAATTTTGCTTTAATTTCTGCTTGGACTCCTTTACAATATGCATGTCTTCAAAGGCTGAGTGAACCCCACTTTCAGTTCAGCCTGATCTAGGGGACTGGGGCTTTTTCTGCTGTCTCTAGCAATGGGATGACTCTGCAAATTTCATCTAACTGCTTGTGTTCTCCCTCACTTGTACCAATTATGTTTGTTTACTTAAACAATTAAAATAACTGATTTTAATGACGACTCTGGATTCTTTTTTTTTTTTAAATGAGACTTTTGAACAGCTTTTATTTTTTTAAAGATTATTTATACAAGCACTGGGTACAGTCAGAAGGGCAGGAGGGTGGGAGAATTCACCAGAGCCAAAGCGGGGAGCAGAGCAGGCATAGGGCCGAATTACACTGCTGAGGGGAGCAGCAGGCGGCAGGAGAGGTCTGAGCGCCATGTGGGACCCTCGCTGGTGGCCGGGGAACAGCCAGACATCGAACCAGCGCTGCAGAGGCTGACGGGCAGCTTCGCAAGCCAGCGCTCAACCGCTGCACCACCGGGGAGGCCCTACTCTGGATTCTTAATTTTGTCTTAAAGGGTGATAGCCATGATTCTGCAGATGCCATTTTAAATCAACCTCTGCTGATCTGGTGAAAATGAGAAAGTTTTTGTAATTATAGTCCCAAGTTACCTTAGGGTGCCGAAACAATCTCCAATTCTGAAATCCTCTCTAGTCTACATAGACTAGTATTTAACCTAAGGAAGAGATATCGCAATAGGGGGTAGCTTGAAAACGGGGGGAAGCAGCATCTGTAATCCTTTCCCATTTGTAAATTGTAAACATGAATGAAAAAAGCATCTAATATAATTACTAATTTAATCAGATTTCTTTTTTTAACATTTAAAAAAGATTTATAAGGGAAAGGTAAAAAGAAAAAGAGTTACCAGAATCATTACAGGTGGGCAGGATTGCTGCCGCTCCAAGTTTGCAAAGGGAAAATATTTGTGAAAAGACACCTGCATATCCGTAGGCAGGTAGGAGAGCTGTTTATGTCAGATTTCTGCAGTAACTTTTATCTTCCGGATTCTGTGCTGCTCTTCTAAATGGGAACATACATTTGTTAGCAGGTAGCAGAGATGCAACCTACAGGTACAATTTTTGAATGCACACTGAATAAACCTAACAAATCCACAGTTAATATGTATACTATATATAGCCCACTGTAGGGGCAGGATGACACGGCAGGATCTCTACAACCCAAGCAGACTGGGTAAAAGGAGAGTCCTGGAGCCGTCAGTGGCTTTTACAGGCTTTCATTGGGATTTTCCTGGGTACACAGCAGGCAGGGGTCCCAGCCCCGCCAGTCCACTCAGCCCCCAGCAGGTCTTCACTCTTTCTGGGCTTTCCGGCCTTCTCTGGAGGTCTTGTTCTCTGCTCCTCTCGTGGTTCTGCTTCTCTGCTCTCTGTTTCGTTCTTTTCGTGGTTCTGCTTCTTCTCTGCTTCTGCTGGCGTCCCCGTGACACCGCCCTTAAAAGCCCAGTCTTACCCCAGGTGAATCCCATCTACATAAGCCCACACCCTACTCCAGGTGCCTGCCATCAGGCATGCATTCAGGACCACAGGGATCCATCATCAATCTTAACGGTGGGAAGCAGAAAAGCCTAATATCATTTACTTACCCTATACCCACTTAGTACATGTATGTCAAATTTTCTTTTTAAATTTATGGTGAAGTACGGCCTCCCCGGTGGCACAGCGGGTTGTACACAGCACTGTGAAACTGTCCTCAGCCTCTGCAATGTAGGTTCGATTCCTGGCCGGCCAGGGAGATGCCCACATGTCGCGGCAGACCTCTCCTGTCTCTCGCACTGCTCAGCGATGTTTTGGTCCATCTGTCTGTTCTGCTCCCCGCTCTGTCTCTGGTGAATCCTCTCACGCTCCTGTGCTCTGACCTGTACCCCAGTTCTTGTATAAAAATAAAACATAAATTTATTGTGAAGTAGAAATGAATAAATGTGACACTGAAATAAAACCAATCTAAACAAGTCTATTCAAGCTGGCAGGATAGTCCATTCACATAACTGAAAATAAAGCTGCTTGGGAATCACATAATCTTTGAAGTCTGAGATCTTAGCAGAGATAGGTATGGGGTGTAAAGCTGAACCACAGAGAGCAAGTGGGATAGAAAAACCCTGCCAGTAGGAGCATAGGCATTCTCCCTAATTCATTCTTCTTGCCTGTTGGTTGAAGCCAAACCTGGCTGTAGGACCCATGAAAAACAGTTTTCTCAGTTTCCCAGACTATTTTTCACCTTGACCTTCCAGCCCAGGTGGCCTAGTAAATAACATGTGGCCTTGCAATGTAGTCCGCATGTGCAAAGAGCAGTAAATAACATGTAACCTTGATATATAGTTCACATGTAGGAAACATACTAGGCTTAAACTTGGCCCTGTGCCAGCTTTGTCTATAAAATCATGTAAAAGCTTATAGGGCTCCTGGGGTAGGGGCAAGGGGCGCCCACTATTGGGCTGAGGGACACCGCTGCGGCTGGAGCTCAAGGGGGCTGACACTGCTAGATGCTGCCATTATTGCTACTGCTGCTGTCACTGCTGCTGCTGTTGCTGCCTTTGCTGTTGCTGCTGCTGGGGATGAGCCGGGGGGGGGGGGGTGAGGGGCCCCAGGGGGTCAAAAAAGCCCAGGGGTGGGGGTGAGGGGTCTCAGGGGGTCAAAAGAGCCCAGGAGGCCCAAGGGGCCTGCTGCCACTGGGCTGGAAGAGAGCTACCTCCACCTGGGCCACTGGGCCAGGCTGCTGCTGCCAGGCCAGCCAGCCAGATAATGCTGTTTCTACCCATGTATCTCCTGCTGCTGTAATAAAGACTTGTCCTACCCCATTGATGAGCTTCGTGACCTGTTATCTCATCTGCCACCATCGAGAACTGGGTAAGTTTGTGCTGAGGCCCTATACTTGCAGCTGGCTGGTAAGTATTGCTTGCCCACTGCTGCACGCAGGTACTCAGTCTCTGTGCCCTGCCAGTGGTGACCTGCTACATTTGAATTGGTCTTTTATAATGTCACTACCACCTTTTTTTAGACCACATGAAGCACATTGCATACATAGTATTAGAAAATGCGGAGATACAGTGCTACAAACAAATATCTTCATTCACCAACAAATCTCTGTACACAATAGTCTCAGCACTACGATCTGAAAACAGTAATAAAATTGAGTAGGAAAACAATCAAGAAAATGAGTGCTGTCATTCTTCGAACGTTCTAATCACATCAGTATTTAAAAAACTATATTCATGACACTTCTATTAATTGAAAGGTGTTTTTAATTCTGTCTAAGCTGAGAGTAAGATAATGGCCTTGACAGAGTAGTCTTTTTTCATTATGTCAGAAGATGCATGTGAAGAAGCCACATCATTCTAATTAGGATAATCAAATCAGCTGTTTGGAAGTAGCTAGCCTCAGTGTAGAGATTTCATTTCCTAACTGCCTAATCACGCAAGAACTGCCTGTTTCTCCCTCATTCGGCACATACAGCTCATCCTGACTTGACAGGATGTTGAGTTTCCCTGTTATGTGCAGCTGGGCTCAGTTCTCATACAACAGAGTATTCCAGACATGCTAAAAGGTATTTGCACAAGATGAACTTAAACTTGTCCTAACAAATCAAAATTACTATGCACAAAATGATACCACAACAAAAAATGTTGAGAATCTCAGTGTGAATTGTCATTACAATTTAGACTGGATTTTTAACATGTAAGAAATCCTGTAATGTAACCATTTGCCACTTTTTTAAAAAAGATTTTTTTTTTAAGATTTTTTTTTATTATTTATTTTTATTTATACAAGAACCGGGGAACAGTCTAGACACGCAGGAGGGTGAGAGTATTCACCAGAGACAGAATGGGGAACAGAACAGGCAGACTGACAAAATACACTGCTGAGGGGAGCAGCGGGCGTGAGAGGAGAGGTCTGCTGCGCCATGTGGGACCCTCGCTGCCTGGCCGGCGCTGCAGAGGCTGCGGACAGCTTCACAGCGCTGCGCTCAACTGCCTGCGCCACCAGGGGAGGCCCTAAAGATTTTATTTTTTATTTATTTATGCATACAAGAACTGGAGTGTACACCAGAGATCTGTGTGTGGGGGGAAGGTGAGACAATTCACCAGAGACAAGAGTGGGGAGCAGAACAGACAGATTCACTGAAATACACTGCTGAGGGGAGCGGCAAGCAAGACAGGAGAGGTCTGCTGCACCATGTAGTTTAGTTAGCTCCCTAGCCTGGATTGAATTCATGCCGCAGTGACTGGCAATTGCTTGATAGCACTGAGACTTTAACCCTTGCACTACCAGGGAGGCCCACTATTTACCACTTTTTAAATACTGCTGAAATAATAGGAAATATTCATAAATTGATGTTGCAGTGTGACTAGGGGCTGAAGCCCAAGACTGTTACCCGTGGCGCCCCCTGGAGGGGAGTACAGGTGAGGATGAATAGTCCCAGGTGGATTAGAAACAAAGTATCCGTGGAGGTGTGGAGGTGGAGACTCTGGTAAGAAATATAAGGGATTGATGTTTCTGTGTCCTTTGGGTAAATACCTAGGAGTGGAATTGCTGGATCATATGGAAGCTCTATGTTTAGTAGGTCCAGAAACATCAATTCCAAAGAACACCTGCACCCCTATGTTTATAGCAGCACTATTTACAATAGCTAAGCTTTGGAAACAGCCCAAATGCCCAAAAATAGATGACTGGATCAAGAAGATGTGGTACATATATACCATGGAATATTACTCAGCATTCAAAAAAGATAAACACATGCAATTTGCAGCAACATGGATGGTGCAGGAAGGGATCATGCTCAGCGAAATAAGCCAGAAAGAAAAAGAAAAATACCGGATGGTCTCACTCATAGCAGGAATCTAGAAAACTTAAATAAGGGACCAGGAAAATGAATAACTATAAGAAAGTGAAAATCAAAATCAACAAAAAACTATGAACCAGAGACACTTTTTGGGGGGTGGGGGCGGGAGGGGAGGGATTGGGGTCAGAATGGGGGTGTTGCAACTGTATGGGGAATATAAAAATAAAATTTATTATTTTTTAAAAAAAAAAGAAATATAAGGGACTGCAGAAGAAACCACCTGGGATTCACCATTCAGGATTTCAGTGTTTTTAGATCTTCAACAATTCCAGGGTCAACCATTTCTGCCCCCACCATGCCAAACTTCCAGAAGGCTGTTGCAGTTCTTTGAAGAAGATGGAAAGGCTTCCAGGCGCCAACTTCAAAGAAGAAAAGTTCGGAGGTTTTGTAGGTAGCAGAGTGGCGGAAAAGGTTCCCAGTTTTGCTGATGTTATAGCTTGGAAGGGAAGGGGAAGACCCAGAGTTGGGTGCCATGCTGAGCTGCTGAGTGTGGGCTATTTGTTGGGTTGTTCAGCTGCTGCAGCTTCTGTTTCCATGTCAATTGGCTGGTGCTGTGCTGGGGCATCTCAGCAGCTCCAGTGAGCATCTCCTGTTGTGTCTTCTGCAATCTTTATGAGTTGGATTCCAGCATATAGTCTGGCTGCCATGTGCTCCGGGCCCTCAGTAGTGGGAAGACCATCTTGGGAGAGTGTTTAGGACTTTAAAACTCTGGACACTGCTTCAGGTGAGGTAGATGGTCATTTGTGGCTTCAGTGACTCTTTGTGTCCCTTCTTTGTTAAATAAATCCCATTATTGTTCTCTGAACCTGAGCAGTCTTGCAATTGTGTGCATGGGTGAAAAACACAGTGACCAGTAAACTATTTGGCAGTGCCCTTGGACAGTTTTAGTGCCCCTTACTGCCCTGTATCAGCAACTTTTATCTTAAACTCATCTCATAAAGACGGTGATGGTTGTTAAGTCCCATCAGTAGAGACATCTGCATTTTACCCTAAATTACACATTTTCTTAGAATCCTTTACTTAAACCATGAAAACAAAATTGTATGTTTATCGCAAAACATTTGCTATGCCACTCTATCCACAGTAGTCAATATAAAGAAAACACTGGGAATTGAAGCTGCTCTTCTATCATACTACATTGTTCCCAAACTAGCAATGAGCTTGAAAGTTGTTGAAATTCACTATAAAATGGTGCATAAGGTTGTGAACTTCAACCCCAACACTCTCATTTATTCCCAAATTGGAATATGGGTGGATGTAGTAAAGGGAGGTGGTAGTAAGGTTTAAAAGTGAGTTCAGGGGCCTCCCTGGTGGCACAAGGGGTTAAGCACAGCACTGTGAAGCTATCCACAGCCTCTGCAGCAGGAGTTCGATCCCCGAGCCCCAGCCAGTCAAGAAGCTACCCACATGGCGCAGCAGACCTCTGCTGTCTCACCTGCTGCTTCCCTCACCAGTGTATTTCAGACCGTCTGCCTGTTCTGCTCCCCACTCTGCCTCTCGTGAATCCTCACCACCCCTGCCCCCGTACCTCTGGCCTGTACCCCAGTTCTTGCATGCATGCATAAATAAATAAATCTCTAAAAAAAAAGTGAGTTCAACACGAGATGTAAAACAACTTCTTCAAAACTATTGTTCAAATATAATTTCCAACTAGAATATCTGGCAAAATCTCATGGTTACTTTTGATAACCTCTATTTAAGAGTGTAAAATCCTGTATTCTAATTGACTTTAAGTGCCTACTGTAACCTGTGGTTGAAGCCAAAGACTGTTACAGGTGGCGCCCCCTGGAGGGGGTGGTAGTGAGGATTGCTAGGCCCAGGAAAAATAAGAACAAATTATCCATGAGGTTGAAGACTGATAAAAAATAGAAGGTACTCATAGAAGCAGCCTTCAAGATTTCAATGTTGGGGATTCAGTGTTCAGGATTCAGCGTTCAGGATTTCAGCGTTTTCAGATCAGCGATTGCAGAGTCAGCGACTTTTGCCCCCACCGTGCCAATCTTCCAGAAAATCTTCTTCCAACCTCAGAGAAGAAAAGTTCAGAGACTTTGCAAGTAGCCAAGTTACTGAAACTGTCCCCGGTTTTGCTGCTGTTAGTGCCTGACAGAGAAGGCAAAGACCTGTAGCTGGGTGCCTCATTTTGCTGCGTGAGTGTGGCCATTTTTCTTATCATTCGACCACTGCAGCTGCTGATTTGAGTGTCACTTATCTGGTGCTATGTTGGCACATCTCGGCAGCTCTGTGAGCATCTCCTGTTGTGTCTTCTGCAGTCTTCATGAGTTGGATCCTGGTCTATACTCTGGCTGCTACATGCTCCAGGCCCTCAGTGGTGGGAAGACGCCATCTTGGGGGCCCTTGTGTTTAGTACTTTAAAACCCTGGACACTGCTTTGGTTGAGGTAAACTGCCATTTTTGGCCTCAGTAACTGTTTTTTCTTGGTTTGTTAAATAAATAGCATTATTGTTGTTTTCTGAACCTGAATAGTCTTGCAATCAAGTGCGCAGGTGAAGAACTCAGATGGTGATCTGTAAACTATTTGGGCACTGTCCGTGGCCTGTTTTAATGCCCCTTGTTGCCCCGTGTCACTACCATAAAGAATATATATATCTCAAAGCAAACTAAAAATAATATCAACATAAGTCTCCTATAGAAATCATCTTCAATCTCATTTTGAATATGAACACTGACAAGTTACTTAAATAAAAATACTAGGGACAGAATGAGCTTCTCACAAGACATTTCTTCATCAGTTATGTATCCCAGCTCATGTATCAACATAAGATTTTGAGATAAACAGGTTGGACATTCTATCAGAATTGACATTTTTCAAATACAAGGGCACTGAGAATTATGTAACAGCTGGAGAAATGCCAGTGCAAAAAGGAAAAACACAACAAGGAATTCTTCTCTGTTGAATTCAACCCAAGAATAATTATTTACTCAGTATTATAATTCTAGGGTTTGTTATTGAGAAGACCAATTCTAGGCAAGTAGCAGATATCATCCATGAATAAAAGTGTTTTTTTTTTAAGTGCTAATGCTCAAATATTTGTAGACATTGGCTGGTGAAATCAGTATGTTCTTTTGTTGATCATGACTTTGTTGTTATTAAATGATATAGCACGGGTACATAGCCTTTTTGCTCTTGAACACATTACCTTACTAAGGAAACATAGGTCTAAAACCCCATTTGGTAGATAGATGGAAAACTGAGGTAATAATTAAGTGACCAGTATTAAGTCTGACCCACAGAGGCTTCCAAAGTCTATAATTTCTGAAAATTATAGCAGGCAAAACATCCCAAGTAAAGCTCCAGGACTGCCAACATCTTCTGGTTATAAATATTTAAACTTTTTCTGGGGCTGTGTGCACATTCTCAAGCCAGGAGGGAAAACTGAAATGCTGATAGAATTCTGCTTTCCTACTAACCATATCTCCTATAATAATCAGACTTCACTGGCTTTTAACCATTTACCACTTTTTAAACATGGGTTCTGTGGTGCAACAGTATTTTAATGCCTAGCAGCACTGTGCTTTTCAACACAGAGCAGCTGTATGTACACGTGTGCTGCTCCTGAAGATCGTGCACCTTGCTTCCTGCAGATTGGGTATCCATGGATACGGCTAAGAGTTTCCAAAGAAACGGTGCCTAGGAGCCTCACCATGCCAGCCTTTTAAGGTCTTCTTCAAATGGAAACTGGCATGTAAATTAAAGGGACAGGCATCACTTCTCCCACTGAAACAATGGACAGGTTTGCCCGGATGGCCTTCCTTTCCTCACCATGCACGGGTTGTGCATCATTTATTTATTTATTTATAAGATTTTATTTATTTATTTTTATTATTTTTATTTATTTATGCATACAAGAAGTGGGGTGTAAGCCAGAGGAGTGAGAGGTGAGAGGATTCACCAGAGGCAGAGTGGGGAGCAGAACAGGCAGATGGAGTGAAATACACTGCTGAGGGGAACAGTGGGTGAGACAGGAGAGGTCTGCTGCACCATGTGGGTTGCTCCCTGGCCTGTGGCTGGGGATCGAATTCATGCTGTAGTGGCTGGCAGTAGCTTTAACCCTTGCACCACCAGGGAGGCCCTATTTATTTGTTTTTTTGCATAGGAGAACTGGGGTATAGCCCAGGGGTCGGAAGTGGGAAAGAATTAGAGGATTCACCAGAGAGTGGGTAACAGAACAGGCAGATCTACTGAAATACACTGCTAAGGGGAGTAGTGGGCAAAACAGGGGAGGTCTACTGGATGCCATGTGGGTCAGCAACCTGGCAGGGGATCAAACTCAGGCCTTTGTGGTGGGCCTTCAGCATAGTAGTGCTGAGACTTAACCCCTAGGCCACCAGGGAGGCCTGGTTGTGCATTATTTAGAGGCAAGCGGGCAGACTGCTTACTCTAGGAACAGAAAATGAGAAGAGATCTGGTCTGGTATTATGTAGTCCCGACATAAGGTGCAGTGACCCTAGGGATACTTTTTCTGTTATCTGCACGGGTGATACTTTTTTTTAGACTTATTTTTTATTTATACAAGAGCCAGGGTACTGGCCAGATGCACGGGAGGGTGAGGGGATTTACCAGAGACAGAGCGGGGAACAGAATAGGCAGACCGACGAAATACACTGCTGAGGGGAGCAGCGGGCGAGACAGGAGAGGTCCACTCGCCAAGTGGGTTACTCCGAGGCCGGTGGGGATCAAACTGGCACTGCAGAGGCTGCGGACAGCTACACAGCGCTGCGCTCAACTGCCTGTGCCACCGGGGAGGCCCCAGGTGATACGTTTTTATAATCAAGAGCTGAGGATTTGTATATCAGACAAGGAAAAATACAGAGGGTGGTAAATGGTATTTGAAACTGTATGTCCCAATTTATTTTCCCAAATGAGAAATGAGGAGGGGAGCGGAACCTGTTAGCAGATTTACAAGTCTATGATCCGGGTCCTAAAGCCTAAAGCAGTTAAATTAAGTATCTTACTGCAGACAGTGAACATTTGAATAAAACAACAAAATGGGCCACAGTGCAGGTTTTCTGATCCAGCAGACTGGGGTAAAGGAGGAGTCCTGGAGAGTCCTCGGTAGTTTTTACAGGCTTTTATTGGGATTTATCAGGTACACGGCAGGCAGGGGTGCTGGGGGGCTGGGAGGCTGGCAGGCATCCCAGCCCCCAGCAAGTCTTACTCTATCTGGGCTCTCTGGCATTCTCTGGTACTTCTCTCTGCTTCTCTTGTGGTTCTGCTCCATTCTGCTTTTCTGCTTCTGCTGGCATCCACATGACACCACCCTTAAAAAAGCCCAGTCTTAGCCCAGGTGAATCCCATCTACATATGCCCACACCCTATTCCAGGTGCCCGCCATCAGGCATGCATTCGGGACCACAGGGTTCCGTCATCTATCCTAATGGCTAATGGCGGGAGGGCAGAAATGCCAGATGCTTTTTACCTTACCCTACATACACTTATCCCCCCTGGATTCTTTTCACTAAGTCAGATGAAGATTCTGTTCTTAAAAGCAAACATAATTAAACTTTCTATCATTCAGTGAATCTGGCCTTCAGGGATGTATGTTTACTAAGTCAGTATAAAATGATTCAAAATTTCCAAAAAGCATTGCAAAATTTTAGGTTTTTAAAATTTATTTAGTTCATAAAAGTGCAGCACTACCCACCCCCCTCACCCCCAAGGCATTTTCACAGCACATCCTGTTCTGTAGTTTCTTTTAGTGTCCAAATTGTATCACGTTTCTTGCTGGAGTCCGGCCATTGGAAATATAGACACATGGGGGAAAATCAACAGCCCAGTGGTGGCAAACACAACACGAAGAAACAGAAAAATGAGGTCTGTTACAGAAGTGCAGCAACGTCGAGAGCAGCTCAGGGGCATGGCTTACTAGCAGCAGCAGCTATATTATCATTTCTTTCTGCCTCAAGTTCTGACACAAGCTGGACTATCTCAGGATGACTGAATTTTCCTGCAAAGCAAGAAGACAGAAAAAAAAATGTTGACAAGAGAAAACATCAGTTTCTCCAGTGTGATCTCAGGGCTTTTCAGTGGCTCGAATCTGTGATCTGACTCTTATCCAACTTCCACGCAGAAGATCTGGATTCTGGGTCTTAGAGAGGAGCCAATCAGGCAGAGAACTGTCAACTAGGTGGAGCTGGGGTAAAGTTCAGGCAGTTCTTGAATGCCCTACTCAGGCAGCACAGAGTCCAGAGAGCTGAAGACAAGCTCTGCCCATTCCACACCGACAATTAATTAAGGGGGGAAAAGCACCTACACATAAAAAGACAAGTAGGAAAACTAGGGGGCTGAGGCTCTCCCAGGATGCAAACATCTCTTGCAAAAACCTCACGTTAAAACCAGCTCAGCTGTGCTGATTCCTGGCTCCTCAGCCCTCCTCCCTGCATTTCCGCCCCTGCAGCAGCAGCCGAGCTCCAGGCTAGCTTGGAGGGAAGGCGGCTAGCAGAGGAACGTTAACCCATGTCTCTTCTCTGTCTTTTCTTGCCAGGGGACTTTATTACTTACCGCTCATTCCACATTAAGCCCTATTCTATTTCTTCCCTAAACTGAACCTCTGCTCTTAATGTTCCCTTAATTTTCTTGTATTAATTGCCTTGTCCTGGGAATAGGGCTTTCCCTGCAGCACCTCCCACGAGGAGGCTGTTATTCTCTCACTTGGCTTTTCCTACAGGGCCTGTGTGTGTCCTCCACAGCCCTCATTCCAGGCTGTTTGGCCACATTGTGTAAAGGTCAGACTGTATCACCCACTGCCCTCCTACAAGTCTTCTGCCTGGAAAATTATAGCTTCAAGGTGACTGCCAGTCTCTTTAAACCATGATGATTCTTGATGATTTCAATGCTTACAAAGATGATCCTACCAGTGTCCTGGCCTCTCCCTCCTTGCCCCCAGCCCAATCACTGCTCCCACAGGCACACCCTGGAACTCATCACAGTGACTGTTATTGAGCAAGAACTGTCCCTGCCCCCAACCAGCCTCTCCACTTGCACACTAGATTCTAGCCTGACAATTTTTCTCGTCTTTCTTTCCTTATTTCTGTCAGCATATACGCATGCTCTTTTGATCTTCCATCTTAAAAACAAGCCTTCCCCAACCATGGCTCCCTCTCTAACTTACAGTCTCCATGTGACTATTCCCCTTTAAGCAAATTCTCAAAAGATCATTCATTTATATTCACTGTCTCTCATTCCTGTCTTCCTATCATCTCTTAAACACATTCCAGTCAGGTTTTTAAAAAAATTTAAGCCACTATTCCACCAAAATTGCTCTTATAGAGAACCCCATTTTGGTGCATGATAGCTACTCCTCTCTGGAAACGCCTATTTCCCTTGGCTTCTGGGACCCCTGGATTTTCTTCCCTCAAACCTATTCTCCCCCTGGCTTCTCCATCTATTGTTGCTAGGGTCAAAATCCCTGGACTCCTCTCATAAACACCCATACACAATGTTCCATAAATCCTAAGGATTCTGTTTTCAAAATATATCTAGAATTTGACCACTTTTTTTTTAAGATTTATTTTATTTATTTATGCATACAAGAACTGGGGTACAGGCCAGAGGTGCAGGGTGGCAGGGAAAGGATTCACCAGAGACAGAGTGAGGAGCAGAACAGGCAGATCTACCGAAATATACGGCTGAAGGGAGCAGCAGGAGAGACAGAAGATGTCTGCTGTGCCATGTAGGTTAGCTCCCTGGCGGGGGCTAGAACTCATGCCGCAGTGGCTGGCGAGAGCTCAATAATGGTGAGTCTTTAAGCCTGCGCCACCAGGGAGGCCTGAATTTGCCTTCTTTCTTCCTTTACCGCCATGTTGACCCAAGCCACCATCACTTCTCAATTGGATACTTATTCACTCCCTAATTCCCAAATGGTCTCCCTGCTTTTAGCCTAAGTGACCCTTTGAAAACATAAGCCAGATCACACCCGGGGCTCCACTTCCTCCATGGGGTCCTCATCTCACTCCCAGCACAAGGCAACATCCTAGGCTGGCTGCAAGCGCAGTCTGCTTCTCCAGGTTCCTTTCTCACCTTTCCTCTCATCCACCCCCACCAGCCACACTGGCTTCCATGCTGTTTCTCAGCACACAAGGTTTCAACAAGAAAAGTCAGAAAAAGAGACTGCCAATTTATAACTGAATTAGAGAAATAAGAATATAAGTGTTATCTAACTAAAATCTTTAAGCCTTCTTTAAAATCCTCAAAGGGGTTGAAGTTTACATCTTCACCTTGGGAGAGACAGGAGAGGTCTGCTGTAGGGTAAGGTAAAAGTATCAGGCTTTTCTGCCCTCCCTCCCTGCGGTCCTGAATGCATGCCTGATGGCGGGCACCTGAAATAGGGAGTGGGCATAGGTAGACGGGATCCACTTGGGTTAAGACTGGGCTTTTAAGGGCCGTGTCACAGGGACGCCAGAAGAAGCAGGAGAGCAGAGAAGCAGAGAGAACACGAGAAAAGGCTGGAGAGCCCAGATAGAGTGAAGACTTGCTGGGGGCTAGGAGGACTGCCAGCCTCCTGGCCCCCCAGCACCCCTGCCTGCCGTGTACCTGGTAAATCCCAATAAAAGCCTGCAAAAGCCACCGAGGGCTCCAGGACTCTCTCCTCCTTTACCCGGTCTGCTGGATCATAGAAAACCTGCTCAGTGGCCTGTCCTGCCGTTACAACCATATATGGGTTATTTCCTGGCTGGGATTGAACTCAGGCCACCGTGGTGATAATGCTGAGATTCAATTCCTAGGCCACCAGGGAGACTCTATTTAGTAGCTTCTTAAAAGCAGTAGTGCACTAGAGTGGGAAGTGCAGCATATTTCATTTACTTCTTACACACCACATTGTGATCACCACTGAAAGTCTACCTTCCAAGCACACAGGAAGCACAGCGAATCTTCATCTCAACTCACTTATGGGCAAGTCTCCATCTTTCTGGGCTCCATTTTCTTTCTCAACAAAATGTGGAGTTGAAACAACATGGCCCTACTAGCTCACACATTGTTAGACTCTACAATATTCTGATGTCGTTTTCTATTTTTCATTGTGACTATATCCAAATAGAAGATAATAGTGTGCAAAATACAAAGAGCCACATAAACGTGACATATTTTGGTTACATTATCAGTGAAATACGCTCTGCTGGCTCTGGGAAATCTATTCTCCAGTGAGCCAGGAATTAACTATTTTAGGTGCTGTGGGCTATCTGGTCTCTGTGGCAACCACATGACTCTGCTGTTGGGCACAAAAGCAGCGCAAACAGTATGTAAAAAGTACATGTGGCTGCTTCAGTAAAATTCTATTTACACAAACAGGCAGCACGTCAACCTTGCCCACAGGTCACAGTTTGCTGACCCTGGCTTATAAATGTTACTCTATTTAACTGAAGTCAGACATCTTTGAGTACTTCCTATATGAAAACAGACTAGGCCCTCAAACAGCTCACTAATGGGGTTAGGGGAAAATAAGTGGGGGCTTGTGAGGAGAACTGGAGAGGAACATTAGTAAGTTGAATGCAAATAAGACTGTGACAACATGATGGCAAGCTCTAGACCAAATGCAGACTGAGCAAGAAGAGGGAACCCTTAATTTGATAGGGAGGATTTGGACAGGAAACCGGAGACATATGCCTTAGACTGCCAAGCTTTTTAGACTACTCAGAAGTGTCAGGATATTTTTTTAGGAAGAGATAAGCCACAAAAGTTTTGAAAGCAAAGATGTGATGACCTGTGTTTACAAAGAGGAAAACATTGAGACAGGCGATGAAGTAGCCAGGCTGGCAGGTTAAGTTTGAGTTGGTTTAGTTTAACAACTGTTCAATACAGAACTAGTGAGGGTTTAGGGCAGAGGTAGTGGGGCTGAAAGAGAGAGAAGGAAAACTGAATCAACTTCATTGTAATGCAAATTCCAATCCACCAGGCAGGACCTCCCTCTATTTGGTAAGGCCCATGGAGGCTGAGCTGGCCAGACCAACTCCAAGGGAAGCTCCATTGAGTTTTACTTCAAGGAGCAACACAAACACCAGCCACCACCAGCACAGTGCACTCTTGAGCTCCTCGCTCAAGAAACTGGATCAAAATGCAGCTAGCCAAAGCTTATTGCCAGATTCTAAGCATTTTTCATGAATCAACACCCCACATCCTCAAACAAGCCCCATGAATGATCCATAATTATCCTCATTTTAAGATTTATTTATGCACACAAGAACTGGGGTGTAGGGCAGAGGTATGGGGGTGAGAGGATTCACCAGAGACAGAGTGAGGAGCAGAAAAGGTGGATCTACTGAAAGACACTGCTGAGGGGAGCAGCAGGTGAGACAGGGGAGGTCTGCTGCACCATGCAGATGGCTCCCTGGCAGGCCAGGGTTCGAACTCTTGCTGCAGAGGCTGTGGATAGCTTCACAGTGCTGTGCTTAACCCCTTGCGCCACCAGGGAAGCCCCAATTATCCTCCTTTTAAAAATAAGGAAACTAAGATCTTGGTTCAGTACCTTGGTTAAGCATGATTGAGCACTTTACTGGAGGATCCACAGATTGCGTGGTAGAACCAGGATTCTTTTTGAAGCTGTTTGGCTCCGGAGCTTTGCTATGATGTGCTATAATAACGATAGTGATTTCAGCTGTTTGGGATTTTTCTGTTTTTGAATCTCCATTCTTACCTCCATCTTACATCTATAAACACACAGGCAGATTACAAAGCACTTTCATATATATCACTCTTGAATCTCAAAACCAACCTATGACTTAAGTAGGTGAGTACTAAGATTTCCAATTTTCAGAGGACATAGATTCTGAGAGGTTAGGAGGCTTCCCGGGGGCATACAGGTAGTAGGTGCAGACACAGACTTGCACTCAGCTCAGACCGCAAGGGGCGACGCACTCACACACCAGGCCACCTCTCAACACGAACCCCACCATTTTCTTTTGAAATGTTCCTTATATAAAGATCCGAAAAGGGTAACAACAGTGAGTCTCATTACCATAACCTCAGTCATTGCACTAGGAGGAAGTCAAACCCATTTGATACTTGTTGAAAGCAGCACTGATGGGGCCTCCCTAGTGGTGGAGAGGCTAAAGATACAGTGCTATCAAGCTATCACCAGCCACTGCAGCAGGAAATGGATCCCTGTCCTGGGAGTGACCCACATGGTGCAACAGACTTCTCCTGTCTCACCTGCTGTGTGTGTGTGTGTGTGTGTGTGTGTGTGTGTGTGAGAGAGAGAGAGAGAGAGAGAGAGAGAGAGAGAGAGCAGCACAGAGTACCTGTTGTGGAATCAAAGAAGTCCTGCAACCTCCCAGGCTTGTTCTCAAGGTCTTCATATTCAGATGCCTGAAGAATCATCTCACATTGGTCCAGTTGCTTCACAAATTTGGCTTCTGCAGTAGACTGGGTCTCATACTCCTGAGTAAAGACACAACAGAAGTTACATGATCAGGACTGCATGACAGGGTGCTCCAGAGAAATTTCTGATTCTGGTGCCTGAGATCAGAGTCACAACTAAAGCACACTCTGTACTGTCCACCTCTCTCCACTATATACAATATACAAGCCCTTCTCAGAGACCTCTCCCTTGCAATTTCAGTTTAAAAGCAGTTCTCCACACAAGAGAGATGGGCCCATAACGCCAAGTACGCCAACAGATACCCTGGAAGTCTCATGTGTTCATCTTGACACTTCCAAGCGCTTTTCCTCTTGCTTAATATCTTATTTCAAGATCATTATTCATTAACCCACCTTAGTGATTTAGCTCTTTTTAACTTCAAATTAATATTTCATTTTATGCACCTCAAATAATTTCCATTGCCATTTAATGTCAGGTTCCTTTGAAGCAAATTTTTCGCTTTCTCATTTAATTTTGGTTGCCACTTTGTACTAGGAATCTCTGTCCTTACTTTCCAAATAGGGAGGATTTAATTAAATCCCTCTGGTGTCTGATTTCAGGATACAGTTAAGACCCGTGAATTTCTGTGCATGTGATGGTGACAGGGAGGTGGTAACAGCAGCTTTTCTACCTTTCCTGTTTCCCCTGCTCTCTCCCTCCTCAACACAAATGTGAAACAAGAAGCTCCAGGAGGTCTGCTGCTCAGAGCATGACACATGTCACACAACCACAAGTCTCAATTAAGACTACACAGAATCACTCTTCTATTAAGACCAAAGTGTTCCCAACTGGTTTCCCAGCAAAGTTCTCATTTGTAATTCCACCCAGACGTGTTCGGATAATGAACCTGTCATGCTTTCATGGTGGGGTGACGTGATGTGAATTACTGAAGGTTTCTTCATTTTTATTAGATACCTTATTCTTATAAAGGCAGCTATTTGGATTTTGACAGAACTTAAAACTATAGAGGGAAATCATTTTAACATAAAGTCAAATACATTTTGTTTTATTCAAAAGGCCCTTAAAATCGTATTTGTTTAAATATTTATTAACATTTATAGCTATATATCTGTGTTTGATAAATCAAAGTTAACATTATTTGGCAAAAAGAAATGGAATACTCTATAAATAAGCAGTTCAGAATTTTTGCCTGTGAAAATTAAGAAAAAAGTTTTAAGAGCATTAGGAAAGATGATACCTTTTTTTTTTTTTTTTTGGGGACCCTCGCAGGCAGCCTCGCAGCCCAGCGCTCAACCGCTGCGCCACCAGGGGAGACCCAGAAATATGACACTTTTTATAACAAATTATGGTGAAATTACAGGTTTCTTTTAAAAATAAGAATTGATTGGATTTCCCTCAAAAAATAGTAATACAAGCATTCTAGAATTTCATTTCCAGTGTGCAGGCAGGGCAGGAGTACCACAAAACCCTAAAGGTAAGAAGGAGCCAAGATCTTTGGGGAATTTACTTCAAGTAATTTCTAATAATAAAATGAAGAATTGTGAGGAGGAAGAGGAGATGGGAGAGGCTAAATGGGGAGGAAGCGCTATCTCCTCTGAAAGACCTTGTTCATGCTAAGAGGTTTCAGCTTATCTGGAGTTAGTAGACATCAACAAAGATTTCAAGCAAGAAGGGTCATGGTCAGACTTGCATTTTAGAAAGATCATCTAGCTTTTGTGTGGAAAATGGCTAGACAAAAAATGATTTGGGGACTCTGCAGCACTAGTAGGAAAGTTATGAGAATATGGTCTGGCCTAATATGGTGGCAGTAAAGATGGGGAGAGGTGGGAAGATTGAGAAATGTTAATGATAAAGAAGTGAACCAAAATGTGAAGGTGAATGAAGGGGAGAGTCAAAAATGACTGCCGGCCTCTCCGGTGGCGCAGTGGTTGAGCGCTGGGTTGCGAAGCTGCCTGCAGCCTCTGCAGCGCCGGTTCAATCCCCGGCCACCAGGAGAGGGTCCCACATGGCGCGCAGACCTCTCCTACTGTCCACTGCTCCCCTCAGCAATGTATTTCGTCCATCTGCCTGTTCTGCTCCCTGCTCTGGCTCTGGTGAATTCTCTCACCCTCCCGTGCTTCTGACTGTACACCAGTGCTTGTATAAATAAATAGATATATCTTTAAAAAAAAAAAAAAAAAAGAAAGACTGCCTAGTTCCTGGCTTAGGTAACTAGGTAGGGAGCAAAAGAGAAGAAATAGACTAAAAAAACTGACAGAATAAAGAAGCAGCAAAACGGAAACCTCATGGACAACAAAAATAGCAGAGTTAACATTATATTACCACCAATTACAAAATATACAGGGACATACCCGGTCCAGCCATAAGTCCTATGTGTGATCAGTCTCTGCCTGGAAGGAAGATTAAAAAAATAATACGGTGTCTGATGGAACTGTGAACAGAAGAATCAAAATAGTCCACAGGTCTCCAAAGAAGTCCCAAATTTTAAGAACAAAAGCCAGTACTGAGTGGGATCCTGCCCACTCCACCTGCAGCTGATACAAGTCCAGTCCTGGTAGACTCACCAATCTGCATACTATTGTTCCAGTGAAGTGACTGCAGTAAGGACAGAGATGAAGAAAAGAAAAAGTCCAGATTAAAGCAGGGAAAGGGGGCTTCCCTGGTGGCCTACGCCTAGGTTAAGTCTCAGAGCTATCACCACTATGGTCTGAGTTCGATATCCGGCCAGGGAGCTACCCACATGGCGCAGCAGACCTCTCCTGTCTCACCTGCTGCTCCCCTCAGCAGTGTATTTCAGTAGATCTGCCTGTTCTGCTCCCCACTCTATCCCTGGTGAATCTTCTCACACTCCTCACTTCTGACCTACACCCCTTTCTTCTACAAAAAATTAAATAAATAAGAAATAAAGTAAGGAAGGGGAGCAAAGCCAGGAAATCACTGAAAGCAAATCACCATATTTTTAAAACACTACATTAAAAAAAAAAACAAAAAACAAAACAACAACACACAACCAAACAGTAGAGGAAAGTCTATAAAGTTAAAAAAGCTATCTGAGCCAAGTTTCCTTCCAAAGTTCAGGAAAACTAATTGCATATCAAAATGAGTTAACAAAGGGCCTCCCCGGTGGCTCAGCAGTTGAGCGCTGGGTTGCGAAGCTGCCCGTGGCCTGTGCGCCGCCGGTTCGATCCCCAGCTGCTCCCCGGCCACTGGAGGAGGGTCCCACATGGCGCACAGACCTCTCCTGCCGCCCGCTGCTCCCCTCAGCAGTGTACTTCGGTCCTTCTGCCTGCTCTGCTCCCCGCTCTGGTTCTGGTGAATTCTCTCACCCGCTCCGTGCTTCTGACTGTACCCAGTGCATTATAAACAAAAACAAACAAACAAACAAACAAATAAATAAAACATGCCTCTATTAAAAAAAAAAAAAAGACAAAAAGAGTAACAAAAATTGCACAAAGTCAGATACCATACAAACTTTTACCATAAGATAAAGAGACTAAGGAGAAAAATAACATCTCTACAGAAAATTCACATGAGAAAGACCTTACTAATTTTTTTTAAAAGAAGATCAAATCTACAAGAGTCTCTTTCATTTTTTTGTTACAACAAACTACTTCAAAAAGAACTAAATGATATTAAGAAGGTGATGACATGAGCCAACAACATAAAAGAATTAGAGACAAAATAATTTTAGAAATGAAGGGCAAACAATAAGGAGCACAAGGGTAATTAAATATGATAAATAATGCCTTAAGGGAAATAGAAATAGAAATAGAAAAAAAGAGGTTAATTTAAAAGCAGAAAGAAATGAATATGATATAAAGGATTTGAGAAGAGACAAATATTGATGATAAGAACTAGCATACTGAGATATAGCTGTTGTAGGAAAGATAAAAAAGGAAAAGCAAAGCAAAAGGAAACTCTGTTCTTTAAGAAAACTTTCTTGAAATAATGAAAAGAAAGTTAATAATCCTACTTAAGGACATTAACCCAGAATGACCAAAACCAATACATATTCTAATAAAATTTCCATACTTAAAGAAATAAAGCATTTTGGACACCAGTGCAAAAAGGACATCTGATATATAACTAAAATAAAATGATGTACAGACTTTGACAGCAATGCTTTATGACAGAAGAAAATGGAAAAATTAGGCATTATGTGCTCCTGAGAAAAAACCCAATACCACCTATAGTTTTGCCAAATGAACCCAACCTGAGTTGATCCAGCCTCTGGACCCAGCTACTAATCTGCAGAAAACTAGAGGACAGAGGAAAATGGACTGCATCGTAAGTGTGTGACCGGCAAAATCCAGATTATGGGCAATTCCAGAGGCCAAATGATCTGGGTTCTTCTTCAACAGATAACTTGCAAGAAAGGGAAAAGAACAGGAGAAAAGAAATTAAACAAAAATATCTAAGGATGAAACACGTGAGTGATAAAACCTTGAATAATATTTTTGAACCATGGCTAACTGAAATCACGGCTGAAACTATGAAAAGCGAAACTGCTAATAAAGGGGGTGACTGTATTTACAAAGTTTCTAAGAGATGAAAAAGTTTCCATTTGAAGCTTTTTATCTCAATAAATGTTTTACTTAAAATATTTTCTCAATGAAGGAGAAAGATTACTTGCTATCTTTGGGGGAGAAGTGGCAAAGTAGGTGGTTGAAGAGAGAATGATGTGGGATCAGAGAAAGGGAGATGACTGCGTGCTCACTGAGGGGCTGCTGGCAGCACTGAGGCTCAGCAGACTGTGACCCCTAATCCCGAGGTGGGCAGGAGGGTCTGTGCATCAGAACTCTGGCACCTTCTGGTGGGACTGGGGAGTACCAGTACCTGAAATGACTCAGCACAACAGAAATGACTCAGCACAAGGGAAATGACTCAGCACAATGGGTTCTGAAAATGGAGGAATTAAAGGGAAGAGGAAGGGAGGGAAGGAGAGAGAGATCACCAGTATCCTCCCTCTCCTTTGGGGAAAGGTTGGTACTAAGTATTGACATATATGAACTTTATCTCTTGCATCTTTTACCCTCCTATTGCTCTCCCTCCAGGGATAAAGGATCCTCATGTTGCTCTACATCAACCCCCTGCCACACTGCAGCTGTATTTCAAAGGATAGAACAGAGGGGTCTTTAAGAGGGTACTTGTTAACCCAATCATATTGGCAGTTGATTGACTGATTGACTTTCATTCTGTGTGTGTGTGTGTTTGTGTGTATTTGTGTGTAGTGTAGGCATGGAGGGTATCCAAGGGCAGGCACATGCCAGGCATTCAGTATGGGGGAAATGAAATGGCTTCCCACTAGGTCTTGGGACTTAAAGGGATATCTCTTAAAACTAAATGCGGGTGGTGGCGTGGTTATCTTTCTGCACCATTTTGAGGAAAAAGATGAAAATGTTTTCTCCTGCTTTGGTGAAATTTGATTTCACACTTGTGTGGTGAAAGATAAATTATAATCAAGAATATTTAATTGCTTTAAATAGATATGACCCTTTGGGCTGATAGCTATTTATAATGGTGAATAGCTGTGATTAACACTGTAGAAATCAATCAACTAGCATTTTCTATGTAACCAATACTATTCAAAGTTCCGTGGGTACAGAATGACCATATTTTCTTAAACTCAACTTTTCTTTAAACTCTTATTTTCTTAAACTCAACTCAGAACACATGGAGTAGAGATAGAGGAAAAAAGAGCCTTCTATATGCCAGACAATATTCTAAGTGCTTTACATATATTGATTGCCACAATGCCTACAAAATAGGTGTAACATTTTTATTGCCATTTTTATAGATGAAGAAATTGAGGCACAGAGAGATCCCCTAAGTTGCCTAAGACCACACAGCTAGTAAACAGGGGAGCTAATATTGAACCCCGGCAGTTTGATATAAAGCCTATGTACTAATGTTGGTCATGAATTATAAAAATGTGTAAGACAATTAAGAGTCTCTGTACTGAGTTGAAGAGTGTTCCAAAAATTCATGTCCACTTGAAACCTATTAATGTGACCTAATTGGGAAATAGCATCTTTGCAGATCTAATCAAGTTAAGTCATACCAGAACAAAGTGGACCTTAATCCAATAACTGGTGCCCTTATATAAAGAAGGAAACATGGGCACAGATACAGACACAGGAAGAACTTCATCCAATAACAGAGAAGGAGCTCGGTATGCTAGTCTATAAGCCAAAGAATGCCAAGCTGGAGGAGGCATGCACCAGAAGCCAGGCAGAGACAAGCGAGGGTCCTCCATACTCTGCAGAGAGAGTGGTTCTGCCAACACCTTGACTTTGGACTTCTAGCCTCAACACTGTAAGACATCTGATTTTTTTTTTTTAAATATTTATTTATTTATGCATACAAGAGCTGGGGTACAGGCCAGAGGTGAAGGGGTGGGATGAGAGGATTCACCAGAGACAGAGTGGGGAACAGAACAGGCAGATTGACTGAAATACACAGCTAAGGGGAGCAGTGGGCAAGACAGGAGAGGTCTGCTGCGCCACGTGGGTCACCTAACTGGCCAGGGATTGAACTTGTGCTGCAGTGGCTGGGATAGCATCATAGTCTGTGTCTTAATCCCTTACGCCACCAGGGAGACCCTCAAATTCCTCTTTTTGTAAGGACACAGTCATAGAGGGTTAGGGCTCACCCCAAAGACTTCATTTCAACATGATTACCTCTTTTTTTTTTAAAGATTTATTTATTTATTTATACAAGCATGGGTACAGTCAGAAGCGCGGGAGGGTGAGAGAATTCACCAGAGCCAGAGCGGGGAGCAGAGCAGGCAGGAGGACCGAAGTACACTGCTGAGGGGAGCAGCGGGCGGCAGGAGAGGTCTGCGCGCCATGTGAGACCCTCCTCCGGGGGCCAGGGAGCAGCCAGGGATCAAACCAGCACTGCAGAGACTGCGGGCAGCTTCGCAACCCAGCGCTCAACCGCTGCGCCACCGGTGAGGCCCAACATGATTACCTCTTAAAAACTGGTATCCAAATAAGAACATAAGGTACTGGAGATTAACACTTCAACATATGGATTTTAGGCAGACACAATAATTGCAAGCCATATCAGTGAAGGGAGCATGGGAGAATACTAGGCTTTCCTGTCAAAAGATTGTATAAGCTGTAATAAACATATTTTGTATAGAAAAAGTCATACCCCAGTGCTTAAAACAGCAGGCTTCTTATAGGTACAGAATGGGTAGAAATGGTCAAAGAAATTAGGGACAATTCTAATTCCTAAAACTCTCTTTACAAGATGTTGTTATATTAGGGATGTAGATTTCCTCCTTTGATAATTTTCTGTGAAGTTTAAATATATATACCCCAGCATGTGCATATACAGACACAACTCTTCACTCAAGAATTGAACAGAAGCTTATGTTATTTAATGGCTCAGTCTGTACCTCTGTGTTCCCTCTTAATCTCACCCACTAACCTGAAACAGGTACTTTATCGGGTTTGGGAATTTGTTATGGAGAGTTTAAGAATCATGCATAATATTTTCTATGAATAAATTTCTATAACTCTGACTGCAAAATGTGTGGATGCTTCTGTATAAGGTCTTCATTATTTCTCCTTTTGTCCTTTATGAAAAGAGAAGAGTTCCCCAACAATCTGATAGCTTGTAAAGATGAGTTTTATGTCAGAGAGTAAACAAGCCCTCAGTTTTTTTTCCTCCTCCACATTAATCATCAATATCCCACAGGATTAGCAATAAAGAAACTTAATTCACTGCCATCTTTTTTAAAGCTATTGGTTGGCCTGGAAGTAACAGTTCTATAGGAAGACTGTCACATTCAAGGACAGCCATAGTGTATCTGTCAAAGACTTTTACAAGATGCTAAAACTGTTAACTTTTGGGGATTATCAAGTCATTTAATGTTCGGTTTTATGTTTTTCCAAACCCAAAGTCACAGAATTCTAATTGACTTTGGAATGCCTCCATTTGGAAAATTCTTTTGTAAATAAATTTTGTAGTAACCTTTATTTAGCCAGTTGTTGACAACCAACTAAGAAAATAACAGATATTGCCAAAGCATTTTCAAGAAATACAAGGCAAAAGGGCATAAATTCTTGTAAAAAGGTCTTCCCTCCACAAGAGAAAATACATAGGATTAGCTTCATAAATTAAGGTGCTAGCGTTTTCCTCTTTATGTATAAAATGTAACCTAACGCCACTGCATTATTCCAATCACAGTGTTCCAAAAGTTCCCTTGAAGCTGCACACTTAGGAACAAGGGACTCTTTCCTAAAGAAACCCTATTATCCCTAGTAACAGATGTCAACTGAGTCAGGGTCCAGACTACATACCATACATTTTTTGACAGATTTAAATTTCACAATGATTTGACAAGGGAAGTATTAAAAGCCCATACTTTCTTATCTTAAACTGTGAGGCCAGAACTGATTCAGTTTTCAACACTTTTATTTTAAAATATAATATGGTATACATAGTATGCATTAAGGAAAACCTGTAATGTGACCTAGGGCAGACTTGGTTACCAAACTGGTGAGTATTTCTACATCAAAGGGTATTAATTTTCACATCAAGGGGGATGGGATGTGTGGGGACTCTACATAGCTTCTTACTGATTCAGGTAAGATTTTCCTGCCAAATCACTTCAGGTTAGGTGATGTTTTAAAAAATCTGACTCGCTCTGCTTTGTGAATTTCCAAACTGTGGCCAAGGGATTGTGAAGTTTCATTATTCTCATTTTCTAGAGGACAAATAGGTTGACTCAAGTTAAGAGACTCACTCACACTCACCTGGAGTGGAGCCAGGAGCTGGGATTCACATCCAGGTCCTTCCAGACATAAACCTCTGCTCTCTCCAACACTTCCTACTGCCTTAAAAGCACTATATCATTCTACAATTCAGCCAAACCACAGAAACAACAGTATATAGCAGAACGTGCCTGCTGCTAAAGTGGCATGTCTAGAGAAATATCTGTTCAGGGTTTTCACCTGGGACTTCCCATCTTGTTCCCCTGTCTTCCCAAGTCAAGGGAAGACCTGGCCTAGCACATGATGGGAGGGTAAGCTCAGAGAGCTGAGGGGAATGCAAGGGAGTGTGGGAGTCTCAGCATGTGGGGAAAGAAAGGCAGAAGATGGGGCTCTGAAGACATGAGAAGGGAATAGGGCTTTGAAGGAAATACAGAAATGTGGAAGGGGCAAGTGGGAGGCAGGACTACCTGAGAGTAAGGAATGCGAGTGGCCCAAGAAAGGAAGGGCCAGTGTGGACAGGAGGAAGGGAGAGACTCCAGTAAGCAGAATTTTATTTGTTGTCTTCCCGTCACAAATGAAAAGCAGCAGTAAGAGGGGTAGCAATGGGGCACAAAGGCTTTCCTCGCCCTTTCTGTTCTTGTCTTTTCCCTCCAGTCAATCTGCTTCTACATTCTTGCTATGGGCAGCACCGACACTTCTGTCCTGTGTGACACATCAAGGCAGCTCTTCCCTTGACCTCATCCAGCCCTACCAACCCTTCAAAGTTTCACAAACAGGCAACAGACTCACAGGGAGGAATCGCACAAGGTCACGGAGCCAAGAAGTGATGACGTAGGAGTCAAACCCAGTTCTGTTCTTTCCATTGACTAGAAATGGGTGGGTGGGTGCGGTGATATTAGGGTGGGAGGTAAAGAGCAATGTATTAGGAAATCCAGGGGTTGTGAGTCAAGGACCAAATCTGGTTTTGCGGTGACAAAGGAAAGGGGGAAATGGGAAGGAAGAGAAATTTCGATTAGCCATGAGATCCTGTAGCAGCTGGTGGAAGAGAAACAGGTGCAAACCAGGAAGTAGTAAGTTAAAGATAGCTGGTTAAGATAAATCTAAGTCAACTAAACACTGATGAACAGTATATATTGTTACAATACATCAAAGGCAACCTAACATATATACTTACCTCCCAAAGTCCATAGAGCTCCTTTCTGAGATCCTCTGGTAGAAGTTGGGTTAGCTGTTTCATCGCTTCCTGAAATACCACACATTATTTTAATCATGTTCACATTTATTTAGGCGAACCAACTAGTTTAAAAAACCAAATAACGAGGGTCTTCCTGGTGGCTCAAGGGGTTAAGCACCGCACTGTGAAGCTGTCCACAGACTCTGCAGCACGAGTTCGATGCTCCGGCCTGCCAGGAAGCTACCCACATGGTGCAGCAGACCTCTCCTGTCTCGCCTGCTGCTCCCCTCAGTAACGTATTTCAGTCTGCCTGTTCTGTTCCCCACTCTGTCTCTAATGAATACTCTCACCTCTCACACCTCTGGCTTGCACCCCAGTTCTTGTATACATAAATAAATCTTTAAAAACAAACAAGCAAACAAAAAAACCAAGTAATGAACTCAGACTCTGAATAGCTATCAATGAGGCAGCAGAATAAATTGAACTATATTGTACAGTATTTACAGCTTATAAGGAGGGCAGCTATGTACACTAAGTAATGAAGTTTATTTATTTATATGGGCTTCACTGGGCACTTATTTTGTGGCTTGCAGTACAGTAGGCACAAAAAAGAAAAATGAGCAGTGAGACAATTATAGAAATATCAGAAGCGAGGATAAGGATTTTACATCTTGTGGATAAATTACAAGATGCCCACATAAATTTCAATCATAAGCATACTGGAGCACAAAACGAATCTGAAAGGAGGAGGATAGGAAAGTAGCACTGAATTACAAAGATCAAAAATTTCAGTATTTTTTTTGGTACAGTATAACATTCATTCTCTAATTTTAATAAATTTTTATTGAAAAATTTAAAGTGCTACACAAATGGGCAGTGATCATTAACATCAAGGAAATCACCCAATAGAATGTTGTATGCTCCGAGATTCACAGTCTAAAAAGGGATAGTGAAGAGTAACTAGCCACCATCCATACAGTACATGAACCTTTCAACAGCATCACAGAAACTTCTTGTCCTCCCTCCATCCAGGGGCAAGGAACCTAACACAAGAGTTAATTTTTAAATTAAGCTGCAAATTGTTCCCACAGTTCTTCTATTTGGCCTAACCCCATCCATCCTTTTTTCCTCTCAAATACACAAAAACAATGTCAAACAGGTGGACAGACCTGGGCCAGAATCACTGCTGCCACAGTGATTGGTCCAAAGCACAGCCATGGACCTCAAACTAGTCACCTGGGGACCATATGCATGACGGGTCTAGCGCAGAGTGGGAGGAAAAAAATCTCAAGTCACACAAAGTAGTCATGGCACAAGATGTTTATGAGCCCCTTCTCTGAGCAAAGGAGAATCATAATGAAATGTGTAACCTTTTCTGGAATAATACATCCTTCTTCCCACATAAACCATATGTGTTCCTTATACCATCAGTATGGATAAATTCTTTTTGTAGTCAGCATTTGTAAAAAAAACGAAAAAGAAAAGTCACAAGTCAGAGCCTGAGATTAAACAAAATCCAAAGAAAAGCAGAGATGAGAGAACAAGGAAGTTAAGGAGATTTTAAACTTATTTCTAGTGCCCCAAGGCCCAAGAGACACCATCATTCCCTTCTCTTCCTTCATTTTTGTTGCTTCAATATCCTTCTAAAAGACCACATAGTAGGGGCATGAAATCCACAACCAATTGTCAAATGACTTCAAAATCTTCACGATCTTCATCCTACACCTTTTAATCTGCTTCATTTCTTCTAACCACAATAGTTAGGCTTTTTGAAAAGATACATTATAAGAACCACTTTGACAATACAAAGGTCTTAAAAACCAGAGTAGGAAAAAAGCACTGATTACAGACAACAAATATTTGTGTACATTTACTATTAGGAAGAAAAAAACTAAGGAATACAAACACTTCCAAAGTAAACCATATTTGCCAGTGTTAACAATCAGCTCTTACAAGTAACATCATCATCTCGAATAGCTTGTTCAAGAGAGAACAGGGTATCAGGTGGCCACATTCTTCTTTGTATTAGGTATATTAAAAACTAAACTTTTAGAATGGAAACACAAAAGTACTGCTTGATTAGAGATTATTTTATTCTATTTAAAATGATTTATCCATCAACAAAATCATCACCTCCCTTATGCTAGATGCTATCTTTCTATAAATGCGCCTAAGACTGAATTGGCTTTTTAGAGATCACATCTAATTACTGACTAATTAACAAGCTTCCTGTCAATAATAATCACCATGTCCTTCAAAAAAAAAAAAAAAAAAAAAAAAAAAAACCAAAACACAAACATACTGCTCTATTCCTGAAACTGAGTAATACTTTTCTGGATCTAAGCTCTGCTATATCCAGAATTGCATTTTTAGACCTCTTTCCCAGTCAATATTTCTTGTTTGTCAGCATATATCACAGAATCACGCCTATCTTTTAAAGGAAAGCTCCGAAATTAACTTTACTAATGTCTGGGGTACATGACTATACATTCCTGATGAGCCCTGCCCCTCACCCTTCTACACAGAGTTTCACCTTGTTCACACATAGATTCAGGGTGACAATTTCTCCAGCATCTTCTTGTTAGCACAGCATGTCAAAAATGTGTCTCAAGTTTTGAGCTGAATGAAGCTTTCAGTAAATGTCTTGTGTCAGTTTTATGACAAACACCCAGAAAGTACTATACACCATTCACACCCCATTAGTGAGGCTGTTAACTGCAAACTAGAGACTCCGATGGGGTTTAAATGCAGCTCACCATTTACTAGCAGTAGAACCCTGAGCAAGTTACTCAGTCCTCTGTCCTTCAGGCTTATCATGTATAACATGGGGTTAGTACTAGTACTTACCTTAAAGGATTGTTGTGAGGATTAAATAGTTAACACATGCAAAATACTTATCATCTGGCACATTAAAAAACTGTATTTTTGGGCCTCCCCGGTGGCGCAGCGGTTGAGCGCTGGGTTGCGAAGCTGCCTGCGGCCTCTGCAGCCGGTTCGATCCCCGGCTGCTCCCTGGCCGCCGGAGGAGGGTCCCACATGGCGAGCAGACCTCTCCTGCCGCCCGCTGCTCCCCTCAGCAGTGTACTTCGGTCCTTCTGCCTGCTCTGCTCCCCGCTCTGGCTCTGGTGAATTCTCTCACCCTCCCACGCTTCTGACTGTACCCAGTGCATGTATAAACCAAACAAATAATAAATAAATAAATAAATAAGACATGCCTCTAGAAAATTAAAAAAAAAAACAAAAAACTGTATTTTTCATTTCTCCATCTTGTCATGGTCACACCTGTGATAAAGTTTGGTTCTTCTCTTAATCTCTCAGTTATTAGCAACTTTAACCCTCAGACGCACGTATACCACGCTGGTCTTTTAAGTTGTTTTTCCCTTTGCAAAGGAATATAACCTAACACCTCTGTATTCCAGCTTCACGTTCCATCCAACAAACTGTGCTTTCTTAAAATTTGTTTTTATTAAGGCAAGGCTGGTTTACAACACTGTACATGATTCAGAAATACAGGACCCCACCTCTTCAGGTGTATGTTACCACACCACACCCACCACCAAAGATATCCCATTAGTTGTTGAGTCCTACCTCGCAGCATTTCGCAGTGCAGGTTATCATACAAAGATTTTATCTGTCCTGTTTACAAAGGGGATTGGACAACCAGGATTGCTTTCGGCCACTTACCTATTTTCTTTTATGCCCTCATTCTCCCTTTCATATTAATACCTATTTTCCTCCAAAACAATCAGCCTTCCAGATTTATCAAATAATTTTCCTCTCTCTTACTTCAGTCTTTAACCTTCCTGAGCAGTCAGCTAGCATTGGGGCAAATGAAGCTTCCAGGTTCTCATTCTGGACATTCCACCTCAAGCCAAGAAACCCTCATTTAATTATCTTAATGCATGGTTCAGACATCCAAACCTTGTCCCCAAACACCACCTGCATAAACAATTTCTTTTGATTCCCAAATCCTAGCCAGCAGTAGGAAGAAGCAAAGGGATACCAGCACTTTCCAAGCCTTTAGTTTCTTAGCCACCTGTGGTCCCTTAAGATGCTTCCCTTATCCCTTCTTATGACACTTATTCCTTTGTGAATCAGAAACAAGCACAGAGGCCAGGTTCAATGAGGTAGGAAAGATTTTCATCCTTTCCAGGATACAGTGCCCAGGAAAACTGCAGCACTTTCTGACAGTTTCCTATTCCACAGGGTATGACTGGCCTATACCACAGGGTATCACTGGCCAGGACTCAGCCCTGTTGGGGTAGAAGTTTTTCTCTCATCCTCAGCAATCGGAGTCCATTTTGAATGACCTGCTCCTCTGTGGAGAAAACCTCCAATTCAATGTGTCCCTGACAGGTACGGTCTATCTGTAAGTAGCTCTGTGGCACCTGAAAGTCTGACTACCCTCTTGTACTTCTGCATGCTGTCTCTCCTCCACAATATCCAGCTTCACCCTTGAATAAAACTAGCATACATCCTTGAGTTTTTTCAGCTCTTTGGTGAGCTAAATTATTTATTTTAATATAGACCATTTCATCAAAATTATTTATCTTTATTATTTATTTCCCCATGACCCCTGATTCAAAGCTAATTCCTTTCTGCAACTCAGTTTCTTGAGCTAATTAGCTTCTTTTTATAGTAATTCTGTCAATCAGTCCAGAAATTCTTCATCACAGCCTGGTGTTGATAGAGTAACATTAATTTCCTTAGCTTCCTCCATTTTCAGACTGTACTGATTTCTCTCTGTATTCTGGATTTTTTCTTTATTTGGCAGGAAAAGTACATTCCGTGTACTATTTTCCTTGTTCCCCATACTCTATCCCAAACTGGGATTCCTTTTGTATCTTCTTGCCTCTAGGGGGCAAAAATGCTGCAAGTTACTGAACTCTGGTTTTTTTTTTTTTTTTTTTTACCAGCTTTAAGAATTTAAGCCAACTGTCCTTTTAGTTGTTTTTAATAAAGGATCTGTCCACTTAACAATTTAGGATCAATCTCTCTGACTTACAACAAAAATAACTTGCAAGAATTCCTGAATAGAAAACCACTTATTTGACGTTTAAAAAAATGTCTTCCTGGATTTTTCTACTTTTGCTTCAAATATGTCTTCCTCTTTGGCTGTGGGCTCTGGGTTTAAAATTTAAATCAATACACAAATCAATATGATGTAATACTTTGTTGATGCTGTTCATTTCATACCAATAAAAATATTTTTCTTCTAACTGCTAAATTAAAGGACTGATTTAATATTCACTAAATAATAATTACAATGATGACTATGCTTGTGATTTCTAGAACTTCTTGCCAAAGAGCTTAACTAGTTGGAAAATTCCTTCAAGTTATAGCCATTTCCATCGTTTTAATGAAAGCCATGTTATCTATATGCACATACAAATGACAACTGAAACTAACATAATTTCCTCTCCCAGCATTAAACAAGGCTGGGAGCAGGCACATTTCCCATTCTTGTGTTAAACAAGGTTGAAGACAAGTGAAAATGAATCCACTGCTTATTCCAGGAAATCCTTCTTTCTGGAAGATAAGACTGCACCCAAAATAGAGTAAGTATTAACAGCTTAATCTTGGAGATTCTCTGAGACCTTGTCTCACCAATCCAAAGCTATTATGCCTTAAACTCTTTGCAATACTAGCTAGCTGCCCATCTTGTAAATGTCCATCTATAAATATTCTCCCCTGACCAGCAAAGTGCTCTTTTTCACTGCAATAAACTTCACTTTGCTTCAGCAACAGGTTTTTCTGGTGGTCTTTTGTGAAGTCAATAGTCAACACTGACCTCTTCTCGCCTATGTTTTTCTTCTTTGGGGATGTTATCTGCTGGTGCTATGTCCCCAACGATGCATTCTGCCATATCGTGAACCAGGGCTAGGCGTACACATCTGACCAGGCAAGAAATAGTAAATAATTACACAGAATATATTTACTACAAGTTCCTTCTTTGTACTCTTTTGAAGTTAGGTAATATATTGTTCTTTTTCCACCCTCACAGACCATTTTAATGCAGCATTTTCTAAAGTGATGATATTCTGCTGGCCTACAACAGTTCTGAATCAAAACTGCTAGTTAATATTCAACACAATACATGACAGAGCAGGGGAAATTATTCGCATGAAATATTTTTAAAATGGCTGGTTTCTCAAATACTACTTCCAAAGGTTGATAACCTCAGATTACAAGGCCAGAAGATGATCTGGGTATAGCGTTTTCTTACTGACACTAATTCAGGAACAATCATTTCTCCAACGTACTAGTGAGATGTCAAAATGAAGCCCATTATAGAAAATTGGGTAGAGTTGAACAGATTGGGGTTGGAATCCAGAAACCAGAATTTATTAGCTTTGTGACCTTTGCCAAGTTACATAATTTTTTAAATGCTCAGTGTTGTCATCCTTCATTTTATTTTCTGTAAAAAAGGGATAATAATATTGTATAAGATTGGTATGAATATTAAATTTGTTAATTTATGTTTCTTATGCAGGACTGTTCAATAAATGGTTATGATTTTTAGGGATAATGATTAATGATTAGGATAATCATTGTCAAAATAATGAAAGCAGGTAATGAGACAGAGTCTGTTTTACATTGTTCCCCTCTTATCAAGGTAAGCCTAATAGCCTCCTGTTAGGTATCCCTGTCTATAGTTTCTCTTTCATCCACTTCAAATCTCAGGTTACTCTTCGGTTCATCTCCATTCAAAACCATGTTCATCTTGTACTTTTTACCAAAAACCTCCTCAGTTCCACACCATCTACAGAGTAACAGGACTCCTCAAACCCATTAATGAACCCTTGGCTACAGTGAAATTGATTTCTTATTTCCAAAGTATACCTTTACTTTTCTACCAGCAGGACTTTAGTTTCTATGTCCTCTTCTCTGCATGCTGTGCCTTCTACTTTTCAACCGAGTCAACTCTTTATAGCTTAACTTAGATTCAGCCCCTTCCACTAAGGTCACCCAAGAACAGATGATCTTTCCTATTGCTAATTTCCTAGCATAACTTTTTTTATGCTATTTATCAAGCCAGTTTGGACCTGTTTGGTTAAGAAACTTTGTACAGTACTCAAAAAAATATTATAAGCACTTGTTGATTGACTAAAGGAGAGGACATCCCTATCTCAGCTATATTTTACACATACCATTCCAAAAAGGCACCTCCTAAGAGTGGGCTAGATTAAAAATACATTGTATCCTAATACAATGATAGAATTTTAGACAAAACACACTCACTTCCAGTGCCTAGGAAACCCCAATATTTCATTTCTGTTTCCGTAAGACCAAAACAGGCTCTTTCACTTTCCAAGTGAAAACCCAGAGTATAATTTACAATAACTGAAGGAATAAACACAGTTTCCCTTCCCATACCTGAGATCTGTATGGTTTGCCTCAAATAATTTTTCTTGATATATAAACTAATCTACAAAAATTTGACACAGGTCTCAGTCATGAAAAGTGGTACATACCCAAAGACCAGAGTCCCACAACAAGCATACACATTCACATCAGCTTACCGGTCTTTGTTAAGATGGTCATCTTTGATCACCAGAGCCATAATTGCCATCCTGTACATGTGATCTGACACACTCTCTGGATTTTCAACATTTCTGTATACCCAGCCAGTACGTGGGACTCTCTAATGAAAATGAAAATAAAAAAGTTAGGAAAACAAATATTCTAAAAGGGGGAATTCAAGCCAATATTTCTGGTGTACATAGATATAAAACTCAACAAAGTGCTAGCAAACCAATTTTAACAATACATTATTAGGATCATACACTATTATCAAGTAGGATTTATTTCAGTGATGCAAGGATCATCAACCATCATCACACACAAATGAACTATCAACACACACAAATCCATCAATGTGATACATCACATCAACAAAATGAAGGATTAAAATCACATGGTCATCTCAAAAGATGCAGAAAAACCATTTGATAAGATTCAGCATCCATTTGTTATTAAAAACTATCAATAAAATGGATATAGAAGGAATCTTAACATAGTAAAGGCCATATAAGACAAACTCATTGGCAACATCATATTCCTTGGGGAAAAATTAAAGGCTTTTCCTCTGAGATGAGGAACAAGACAAGGATGCCCACTCCCATCACTGTTAGACTGCAAATTCTGCCAGAGCAATTAAGCAAGGAAAAAAAAAAAGTTATCGAAATTAGACAGGAAGAAGTAAACAGTCACTTCTTGCGGGTAGGATAGCATACAGAGAAAACCCTAAAGACATCATCAAAAAACTACAGAAATAATATGGTAAAGGTGCAGCCTACAAAAATCAATATACAAAAATCTGTTGTGCTTTTATACACAATGACCTAGCAGAAAGAGAAATTAAGAAAACTATACCATTTATGGTAGCATGAAAAAGAACAAAACATCTAGGAATAAATTTAACCATGTAAATGAAAGACCTGTAAACTGAAAGCTGTAAGACACTGTTGAAAGAAACTGCAGAAGTCACAAAGAAAAGGAAAGACATTCCGAACTCATGGAACAGAACAGACTGGTAAAATGAGCATTGTATCTAAAGCAACATACATATTCGATTCAATCTCCATTAAAATCCCAAGAGCATTCTTCAAAGAAGTAGAGTAAAAATGCCTGAAATTTGCATGAAATGACTAAAGATCTCCAATTTCTCAAACAGTGCTGAGAAAAAGAACAAAATGTGGAGGTATCAGTCTCCCTAACTGCAATCTATAACACAAAGCTACAGTAATGAAAATAGTATGGTTATGGAATAAAAACAGATGCACAGATCCATGGAAAGAGTTCAGAGCTCAGAAATAAACCCACACATATATGGGTAACTAAGTTATGACAAAGGAGCCTATACCATATATTCAAGAAAAGGAAAGTCTCTTCAATAAATGGTGCTAGGAAAATTGGACAACCATGTGCAAAGAATGAAACCAGATCACCATTTTACACCATATACAACAGTTAACTAAACATGGATTAAAGACTTGAATATAAGATCTGAAAACATACACAGAAGAAAATACAGTAGATAAAATCTTCGACACTAGCCTTAATGATATTTTTATGGATTTCCCATCTCCAACTGTAGGAAAAACAAAAGCAAAATTAAACAAATGGGCTACATCAAACTAAAAAATATCTACACTGAAAGAATGCATCATTAAAATGAAAAGGTGGCACACCGAACAGGAGAAGATATCTGCAAACCAAACCTCAGGAAATGGGTTATAGAAACAACTCAACAACAAAACAAAACCCTGATGGAAAAATGGGCAGAGGCTCTAAATAGGCATTTGAATAAGAAGACAGACACATGAGAGGATGTTCTTAATTGCATATCATTAGAAAATGCAAATCAAAGCCACAGTGAAATTTCATGTCGCATCTTTTTAGTTATTAGCAAAAGGACGAGAATCACTAAGTGTTCACAAAAATGTGGAGAAAAAGGTACCCCCATGCACTATGGATAGGAATGTAAACTGGTATAGCCTCTACAGAGAACAGTATGGCAATTACTTAAAAATAGAACTACCCTGTTATTCTGCATCCCACTTCTGGGTATTTATCTGAAAAATATGAAAACACTAATTCAAAAAGAGAACTGCACCCTTATTTTTATAGCAGCATTATTCACAACAACTAAGATGTGGAAACAACCAAAATGCCCACTTACAGATGAATGGATAAAGATGCCGTGTGTATGTGTGTGTGTGTATATGTGTGTGTACACAATGGTATATTATTCAGCTATAGAAAAAGATAAAATCTTGACATTTGTGACAACATGTATGGATATGGTGGGGATTAAGCAAAGTGAAATAAATCAGAAGAAAAATACCATATATATTACTCATATATGGAATACAAAGAAACAAAACAAATGAATACACAAAATAAACAAACAAAAAAGACCCTTAGATTCTGACAACAGAATGATGGTTACCAGATGGAACAGGGGGTGGCAGATAGGTCTGGAGAGTGATGGGTTGTGGAATCCTCAGCCCTCCTAATTCTCGGGAATATTGTCTTGGTGCCCAGAGGTTTCTGCTTGTCAGCTAGGTGTAAGGTCATGCAGGCGGCCTCTTACCAAAGGCCTAAGTCCTGATATGAGGAACATACTGGGAAACCACTATCTTTCGAAAACAGCAGGCAGATATTAGAATAGATATAGGGCCTCCCTGGTGGCACAGGTGGTTGAGCACCGCACTGTGAAACTGTCTGCAGCCTCTGCAGCACAGGTTCGATCCCGGCCAGCCGGCGAGGGTCCCACATGGAGAAGCAGACCTCTCCTGTCTCATCCTCTGCTCCCCTCAGCAGTGTATTTCGTCAGTCTGCCTGTTCTGTTCTCTGCTCTGTCTCTGGTGAATCCTCTCGCCCTCCCGCGCATCTAGCCTGTCTCCTGGTTCTTGTATAAATAAATAAAGCTTTAAAAAAAAAAAAAAAAAAAAAAGAAGAGAAGGCCTCTCCAGTGGCCCAGCGGGTGCAGCGCTGTGAAGCTGTCCGCAGCCTTCGTAGCACCGGTTCTATTCCTGGCTGGCCAGGGAGAATCCCACATGGCGAGGCAGACCTCTCCTGTCTTGCCCGCTGCTTTTGTCCATCTGCCTTTGGTCTGTTCTGCTTGCCACTCTGTCTCTAGTGAATCCCCTCACCCACCCACAGCTCTGGCCTGTACCCCAGCTCTTGTATAAATAAAAATAAATCTTAAAAAGAAAAAGAATAAATATAATATGCTTAGACTGGCAGGAATAATGTAGCCCCCCACGCAATAGCTCCTGATCACTCCACCCTAGTTTACATCCCTAATTCCATCACCCACGCATGTACACTCCCTATATACTTGCCCTTCCTGGATTATTCAGTGCTAATAATAGGAGACTGTCTTTGGTCCAGGCTGCACATTCCTTCCTGTGTAGCCCCTCCAGGTGTCTCACTATTCCAAATGGACTTTGAGTAATCTCTCCCTCATCCCCTGCTGCTTCCAACACTGCCATCCTGCCAGGCAACAATGGATGTAACTAGGCCTTTGGGGGTGGGCATGGTGTAGTATTAGCTATCTGCTATGCTCTTCAAATAAAGCCCTGGGAATGAGACACAGAAGCAGAGTCATGGTTTCAGAACCTATTAAAAAATGCATAACCAAGCAAAATGATTGACTTCTGGAATCAAATAAACCAAGGAGGTAAGAGAATGGGTTGTGGGGAGTGTATGGAATATTTTCAAGCATATAAGAATCCAATAACCAAGTTATTCTGTATTACTGACATAAAAATGTATAAATTATTCAACATATAAAAGCCCTTTAGACATAAAAGACAAAACTGTAAAATACTCTATCTTTCATAACTACAGGAGGTAGGATTTTTGGCTTCAAACAACGGCACTCGACATAAGTAGAAAACATTGTGGTGCGTGCTTGCGCTTGAACAAGTGACAGACTTTCAAATTCTGAAGAAGAGAGAAAGGCATGTCTGACTGCATCATGGGAAGTCATGACATCCTTTATTCTGAACATGATGTGCTCCTGCGAGACCGCATGTTCTCCTCATAAGTTTGTTTTCTAAAGACTAGTATAAACAGCAGTACTAGCAGCATGAAACAAGATAACCTGCTTTAAAGAGAAATTCTGCAAAATCCCTAACTGGGGTGGGTGGTAGGAAACGTGATGTAAAGATTAAAAATCCTCTATTAAAAAAGTTTTGTTTGGGGCCTCCCTTGGTGGCGCAGCGTTGAGCGATGGGCTGCGAAGCTCCCCACTGGGCTGCGAAGCTCCCCACAGCCTCCGCAGCGCTGGTTCGATCCCTGGCCACCGGCAAGGGTCCCACATGGCACGCAGACCTCTCCTGCCACCCGCTGCTCCCCTCAGCAGTGCATTTTGTCAGTCTGCCTGTTCTGTTCCCCGCTCTGGCTCTGGGGAATCCTCTCACCCTCCCGCGCTTCTGACGGTAGCCAGTGCTTGTATAAATAAATAATCTTAAAAAAAAAAGTTTTGTTTGCTATTTCTAGAAGTTTCTATGAGAGAGATTTCAGCATTCCACTTAAAAGCTGCAGGGCCACTGGGGTCTGTTCCTTCCACCCCTTATTCAGAAACCCATCCCCACCAGCCCAGTTTGGGGCTCGTGAGCCCCACATGGACTGAGCGCAGAGGCGGGTCAAGGTCCAGCAAAAGCACGCCGGCCGCTGTCCAAACACCTGTCGAAAGGTGCCAGCACCGGTCGGGCCTGGCCTCCCGACATGGGATGCTCGGCCTTTCAGACCGCGCGGGGCCCGGGGTCGGCCCCATCACCGCGGCCGCGGGTCTCGGCAGCCTCGCTGCTCCGCCTGCCGTCCGGACGCGCGACCGCACCCGGCCGTTCCCTCCCGCGCCGCGGCAGGGCGGGCGGAGGGAGGTGACGGCCGGGGCCGAGCCTGGAGTGAGGCGCCTCGCGGTCTGCCCCGGCCTCTCCCGGGGCACCCGCTTCCCGGGCCACCGACGCCCCGGCCCGGCGCCCGCTCACCTTCAGCTGCCCCACCAGCCGCAGGAGCTGCAGCAGGCTGCGGGCCGCGCCGCCCCGGCGGAGTGGGAAGCCATGGGGCACCCTCCTGTCAGGCCCGAGCAGGCCTCGCGGCCGCGCCCGGAACTCCTCCCCCTCCCCGCCCCCCGCCTGCGCCCCACCTCGCCCTCCTGACTCCTCCTCTTCCTGCGCTTTCCCGCCGGGCTGAGGGTTTTCACAGACCCGCGTTCTCTCGAGTCCACCTTGCTGGCGTTTGGCCTGCGCGCTGCCCCTTGGGCAGTGCACCAGCCCCGCAGACACAGTGCTTGGTGTCCCTGGGCACTCATGACTCGTCTGTGAGACAAACCGTCGAACGCCTGGCAGGGATTGCGGGAGGGGCCAGGAACGGAGCACAATGCCAGTCTGCACCAAAATCTTTGCTTTTAGGAAATCAGCATCTGCTTGGGGGAAGAGATAAGGAATTCTACTTTAAAGCAGGCAGATTGCGTTTATAAAGGCACAAGAAAATACTATAGAGGGGAGAAATTAATTAGTAGTGAGAAAAGTATTAGTAGCCATAGCCAAAGGGTTTTGGAGATAACCATACATGGGCTAGGCAGTAAAAGCAATCCCGTGATGAAATCACAGCTTCCCTAACACCTTAAGCGCTGAAGGAAGAATCCCCCACCCCAAATAGTTGGCCAGTGTGTATCCCAAGCACCTGTCTTAATTCCATCAATAACCAGGGCCACCGATTTTTAAAGGAATGCAGTGGAGGTGCATACTGAAGGACTTGGGGCAGAGGGTAATGTTGAGAATAGACTATATGGGTCAGGGAGGACATAGTGAGGCCAATGAAGACATAATTGAAATTATTCTTTTGGTAGATGATCTTTTGTTTGGTTCCTTGTAGTAACAGTGGAGATGGTGAGGTGTTGTTGTATTATTTGTTGTTGTATTGTATTTTGGATACAATTTGAAGGTAGGACCAACAGGATTTGTGACAAATTGGACATGGGATATGAGAAAAGAGAGGAGTCAAAGATGATTTCACATATTTTTGCTTCACCAATTAGAAGGGTGGAAGGGCTATTTACTCCAAGAGAAACAAAGAATTGGGGAAGGGAGGCAGGGGGGCTGGCTGGCTGGGGGAAAGTGCACGAAGACTAGGTTTGAGGAAGGGTGAGAATTGGAAGTTTAATTTGGGATATGTTGAGATACCTAATAGAGATGTAAATCTGGAGGTCAGGGAAAGATAAAAAAATTTGTATCAACAACATATAAGGTTGGTTGTAAAATCACAGAAACTGGATGAGATCACCTCTCAAGAAAGTGGGGGTGAAGAAGTAAAGATGTCGGTGGTTTAAACCCTGGGGCAACCCAAGAGTGAGAAGAAGCAGCAAGTAAGGTAGAAAAAGCAAAGAGATAATTATGTCCTGGAAACCAAATGGAGAAAATATTTCAAGAAGGAAGGAATGTCAAGTTAATGTTCTGTCACATAAGGATTGAGATCTGACTACCAGAATTAGCAAATTCAGTTGGTGACCTTGACAAGAGCAGATTCATTTGATAGGGTGACCTGCTACAGGGAGAACGGAAGTCAGTATTGCAACTCACGTAAAATGACTAGGAAAGAGATTTTTTTTAAGACAGAGGAAATTATAATGTGTTTATTTATTGATGGAGGTGATCTAGTAGAAAGGCACAAATTCCCTCTATAACAGACAGAGGAGAGAAATGCTGAAATGATGTCCTAAAGTAGATAAAACAGGATGCAGTTTAGTGTACAAGATGCAAGACTGGCCTTAGGAATATGGAGAATTCATCCACAATACAGGAGGAATGAACAATATATGATGACTAGTGGCAGATTAAGGTTAGAGAATTCTCATCAGATTGTTTTTATTTTCTCACTCTAGTAGGAAGCAAAATCTAGACTAGGTTATGTTGTAGTAACAAGCAATCTTTGTATCTCAGTGGTTTAGCATATTAATATTTTATTTCTCTCTCAAGCTAAATATCTACTATTGGTCAAATATGGGGTGCTTCTCTAACCTCTTTCAGGGAGCCAGGCATATTGCTAAGTGAGGAAGAAACAAAAGAGGCACCCCACCTCTTAAAGCCTGTCTCTGGAAGCAATATATGGCCCTTTATCTACATATCATTGTTTAAAATAGGTAATACTGCTACATCTAATTTCTGTGAATGTGCTACATTACAAGGCAAAGGGGAATGGAAGCAGATGGAATTAAATTTGCAATCCAGCTGAATTTAAAATAAGGGATCACTGGAGTTCCTGGATTATCCAGATGGGTCAAGTATAGTCATGGGGGGGGGGTCAAGTATAGTCATAGGGGGTCAGAAGAGAAAGTGTCATGATTCTGTATTAGAAGACTCACCTGGCCATTGCTGACACGATGAAAGGGCACAAGAGCCAAGGGCTACAGGCTATCTCGACAAGCTGGAAAAGAAAATTAGATTTTCCCTTTAAGGCTCTAGAAAGGACTGTAGCCTGGTAATGTGTTACAGCAGCAATAGGAGACTAATACTGGGACTAGTCATATTGGATGACCTTGACCTGCTTTAACCAATTACCCTTCTTCCCCTTGTTTTTCTGTTGAAGAAGGGAAATTGGCAAGTCTGTTTTCTCTTCACCCAACCAGTGACTTATTTCAATGACTCATGGATAAACCACCTCCCTCTAGCATCAGGGGAAACAGGAATCAACCAATGGAATCAATTCTTTGCACGGAAGGAGTACAAGTTTAAAGCAAATGGGGAACAATTTGATGCCATTTACTTGAGTCAATTGGAAGAGAGGTGCAATTAGCAGGCTCTCACCGAAGGAATTTTTTAATTGGTCTCAGTATACATTTCAGAGAATTTGTGAATATCCTAAAATTGTCTACAGACTTATTGCTTATGAGAAAGTTCCTGTTTAGCATATCCTTGAAGTGGTCTGTAACCAGAATGGGGGTGGGTGGGATTGGGGGGGCCTGCACTGTTGAGAAAACTGCTTCAAAATGCAGCTGTGGCCACGTCCACAGAGCTCTGGCTTTAGTGTTATAAGAATAATAATAGGGCCTCCCTGGTGGTGCAAGGGGTTAAGCACAGCACCGCGAAGCTATCCGCAGCCTCTGCATCATGAGTTTGATCCCTGGTCAGCCAGGGAGCTACCCACATGGTGCAGCAGACCTCTCCTGACTCGCCTGCTGCTCCCCTCAGCAGTGTATTTCAGTCGATCTGCCTGTTCTGTTTCCCATTCTGTCTCTGGTGAATCCTCTCACCACCCTCACACACCTCTGGCCTGTATCCCAGTTCTTGTATGCATAAATAAATAAATCTTTAAAAAAAGAATAATAATAAAGCTCACACTGATTGAGCCTCACCCAGGGAGATAGATTGTTACATATCGCACCTCACTGTAACTCTCCCAACAGCCCTCCAGGGTATGAATTATCCCACATTTCAGATGAGAAACTGAAGATAGAACTGACCTTAGCTCGCAGGGCCAGCAAGCAGCTGGCGCCAGAGTTGCACCCCTCACCTGTTTCCATCAGATGCTTCTTTCCATCTCATCCTACTGGGCCCAGCCAATTGGCTACTAGCACCCACTTCTAATCATTATGGAAATTAAATTCCAAGTGTGAAATCATTTTCTAAACTGTTATTTATGTAAAGAATTAAACAAGGGAACAGGCACCTTCTCCACTGCTGATCACCTCCCATTCGTTGGAGAAAATTTACTCAGGAAACATTCATAAGTATGCCTTAGGAACTGACTAGAACAGAGACCAAGTCTGCTCCAAATCCAAATTCTTTTTTTGCCTTAAGACATCTAAGGAAGACACATTGTTTCTTCCTGCTATATCTTTATAGATATAAGGGTTAACGGTGAGTTTATAGCAATGGTTCTTAAACTCAGGGTGATTATTGTTTCCCTGGAGAGAATGTTTGGCAATGTTTAGAGATATGTTTGGTTGTCACAGAGGAGTAGGGGGAGCGGGACAGGGGATGGGAGGGGAGAGGAGAGAGAAGAGTATATGCACACATACTCACATGTGTGGGCAAAGGCTAGGCTGGTGCTAAAATTTCTACAAAGCACACCACAGCCTCCCACAACAAAGAATTATCAGCACAAAATATCACTGGTGCTGAGGTTCGCAAGTCACAGTCTATCTGTCCCCACAGAAATGCTTATAATTAAAATCCTCATATTGTTGATAAGTTACATAATCAGCAGAATCTTGACATTATATTTCAGTTACAGTGAGGAAATAAAGTAAACAAGCAAGTTTCACTAGTAGATCCTCCTTTTAATGGAGCACAGAAAGACTCCCAAGCTTGGCCCTGACAGGGCCTCTGGAAAGATGAGGGGATTAGAGGATGACTTTGATCATTTATGTAACTAGGTTAAGATGGAAAAATTCAGTTCACGGAAGATAAATGTAAGATATTAAGTCTGGGAGTCAAGGAACAGTACAAAAGGAATGTTTGTTTAAGGGAAAGATATTGGGCTTTGTTCTATTTTGCAACTTTCTTGCCTCTGGTGCTGTGTGGCCAGCAAAAAGAGTCAGCGTGCACACCCACTCACTCCACAAAATGAGCCATTAACTAACTAGCTAAGGGAGGGCTTTCTGCTAAAATGAGCAGCAACCAAATAAATCAGTTCCGGGGTCATGGAGGGTGATGTGGAGACATTGCTAAGAAAGACACGCCTTCTTTCCAGTTAACTCAAGTGGAGCCAAGCCAACTGGTTCCAAGACAATTGCCAGTAAGTATCACCCCTGGACACTGGACTAGAGTGGAGGAGTTCTGCATGCATTAAGATAACACTCCTGCTTTGTTTATAATTATTAATTCTGTAAAAAATCCCCTGCACCAGTTTTCTGGTAAGTCCTCAAATCTTCTCCACTGCAGATCATCTTCAATAATTAAAAATGTTCATGATCAGGCTTCCCTGGTGACTCAGGCGGTTGAGCGCAGCACTGTGAAGCTGTCTGCAGCCTCTGTAGCGCGGGTTTGATACCGGCCAGCCAGTGAGAATCCCATATGGCGAAGCAGACCTCTCCTGTCTCGCCTGCTGCTCCCCTCAGCAGTGTACTTCGGTCAGACTGTTCTGTTCCCCGTTCTGTCCCTGTTGAACCCTCTCACCTCCCGCGCATCTGGCCTGGACCCCAGTTCTTGTATAAAAATAAATAAATCTTGGGCCTCCCCGGTGGCGCAGCAGTTGAGTGCTGGGTTGCGAAGCTGCCCGCAGTCTCTGCAATGCTGGTTCGATCCCCGGCTGCTTCCCGGCCACTGGAGGAGGGTTCCACATGGCGCGCAGACCTCTCCTGCCGCCCGCTGCTCCCCTCAGCAGTGTAGTTCGGTCCTTCTGCCTGCTCTGCTCCCCACTCTGGCTCTGGTGAATTCTCTCACCCTCCCGTGCTTCTGACTGTACCCAGTGCTTGTATAAATAAATAAAAATAAATCTTTAAAAAAATAAATCTTAAAAATCAAATAAAATAAAAATATAATGTCTCCTTCTATAAAAAAAAATGTTCATGATTATGCAAGAATCTTTAGTGACTATCACCCCATCCTCATCATATGGGACAGATTTGGACTTTTGCTCCTCCTGAGTGACCAAAGCTAGGGCCTGACCCTGCTCATTGGCAGACATCATCAAGAATAGGACAGTTTCCAGGTGAACTTCACAGAGGACCTTGAAGCCTGCCACAGTCTTGGGGAACAGCTACCCAGGACACCTTGGTGACCCCTCGGGTATCTTAGACCTGGTAGCCTCGCCCTTCTCCACACACAGAAAAAGAAATTAAACTATGGCACATATGTAGCAATAGTATTTCCCTTTAAAATAAAAAGTAGTACCATAAAATGTAGAATAAATTATATTAAAAGAGAACTAGGAAAAATTTCTGATATTGTGCAGCTTATAATCACTTGGAGTGTTTTTTTCTTTACTTCTAACTAGAGGAAAAGCTATTGATATTCCAATGCATTACAGTTGAAGAGTAAGCAGTAGGCCTATATGTTTTATAGCAAGACTTCAGTTATCACAGGGATGAAAATTCCAGTCACCTTATACTTCTAGAATGGCTTGGAACCCACAGAGTTATAAAGGAAAAAAAAGGTTAAAAGTGTGTCAAACATGAAAAGAGAAAAAAGAGGCTACATTGTACTTGACCCAACATGGCTCTTGGTACTTGGTTGTCTCTAGGTTTCATGTTTGAAGAGCAGAGGAAATTTGATGGCAGGGAGATGAAAACAAGGGGGATGACAAAAGAACAAAGGCAACAAGGGTAAAGATTGCCCAATGGTAGCAACAGACATGGACTCTAGAAAAAATAGATACAAGAACCACTGCTAAAGGGCCTCCATGGTGGTGCAGGGGTCAAAGACAGCACTGTCAAGCTATTACCAGACATTGCAGCAAGAGTTTGATCCCCAGCCGGCCAGGGAGATACCCACATGGTGCAGCAGACCTCTCCTGCCTTGCCTGCTGCTCCCCTCAGCAGCATATTTCAGTAGATCTGCCTGTTCTGCTCTCTACTCTCTCTGGTGAATCCTCTCACCCCTGTACCTCTGGTTTATACCCCAGTTCTTGTATGCATAAATAAATAAATCTTTAAAAAAAAATACAAAGAAGAACCACTGCTAAAGCTGCAGAACTTGGCTTCACTAAAAGCTCAACACAGTTTCAGTCTTGCAGGTGGTATGGGGTTGGTGAGAGGCATCAGGGAGTGAGAACAGGGTGTGAAATATAAATAGTAGTGAGAACACCTTGCTTTTTTTAAAGGTTTTTTTTATTTATACAAGAACCGGGGTACAGGCCAGAGATGGGGGTGGGGGTGGGGAGGGGTGAGAGGATTCACCAGAGACAAAGTGGGGAACAGAACAGGCAGACTGACTGAAATACACTGCTGAGGGGAGGAGAGGGTGAGACAGGAGAGATCTGCTGTGCCATGTGAGTTTCTCCCCAGCCAGCTGGGATCCAATCCGCGCTAAAGAGGCTGTGGACAGCTTCACAGTGCAGCGCTCAACTGCCTGCGCCACAGGGAGGCCCAAGAACACCTTCCTTTAAAGGACACTTCACTTAAGCCAAGCATATTGCTAGGAGCTCTACCAGGTCATTACACTTCCTCCCACCCCTCACAATGTCAGTATGTGCTTTCTGTAGGAGAAAAATAGGCTCAGAAAAGGTAAATAACTTGCCCAATGTTGTACTCTTATTAAATTGCTATTCGGGATTTAAACTTTGTGATAGCCTCGCTTAGGTATTCTCCAGGGCCCACACTGTCTCCTAGGAGTTTCCAGAATCTCAATGTGAAAACCCAGGGATCACTAAAGTCATCTGTATAGTATACTAAGTGCTAGAGAGAGGATCTGGCAGGTTGTGTGAGATTGAGTGCTGCGTGAATCCAAGTGGCCTTCTTGTGAAGGAATCATATTTTAGAGCATGGCATCATAATCAGCAAAAATGTCCTTCTATATGAAGTTTATCTCACTTTACATAGAATACATTGTAGAAAAAAATAGTTAGAATGCCACAAATCTAGGGTTCAAAAATGTTAATTCAGTGAACAAAATCATTCTATTTGGGAGATGCTTTCCATCTTCTACCAGAACAGATGTTGGTAGAGGAAACAAATATGGATTTAGTTTTTACGCATGGTTTCTGACTCAGAAAATTCCAAATGTTTGGGGACTTATAAGTGTTGAGAGTGATAAGGTGCCATTTAGACCCAGATGGGGCTGGGTGCCAGTGGAGCCAAACGTTTAGAGGGTGGAATCTTCAGTTCCCCACCCCCAACCTCAACACCCCAGCTCTCCAAAAAGGGGAGACCGGCTATGGGTGGGGTTCAATCATCAGTGGCCATTGATTTAATCTATCGTGCCTTTGTAATGAAGCATCCATACAACCCAAAACAACAGGGTTACAGAGTTTTCAGGTTGGTGAAGATGTGGAAATTAGGAGGGTGCCTGAGGAGGGAGCAGAAGCTCCATGCCCTCCCCCTACACCTGACCTATGCTTCTCTTCCATCTGGCTGTTCCTGAGTTATATCCTTTTACAATAAATCTAAGATCCCGAAGTAAAACGCTCTTCTTAGTTGTGTGAGAAACAAATTAAATCCAAGGAGAGGGTCGTGGGAACCTCTGATTTATAGTCCGTCAGTCAGAAGGCAGGCAACCACCTGGACTTCTGACTAACGTCTGAAGTGGGTGTGCACGGGGAGAGGGAGGCCATTTTGTGGAACTGAGCTCTTAACCTGCGTGATCCAATGTTGTCTCTAGGTAGGGCGTGTCAGAATTGAGTTAAGGTGCAGGACACCCAACTGGGTCACAGAGGTGCTCCGCAGTGTGGAAACGTGGCTACACACTTGATGATCAGAAAGGAGAAACACAGGAAAGAATCACACAGTAAGGGAAGAACTGGGTGTTCAGGATGGGGACACTTGCGCTGCCCTCTCCCCCCAACCCAGGTGAGGCTGGGGTGACAGGGAGTTGGGGAGGAAGCATGCCACACTGTTCTTGTCTCTGAGGCCATTTACCATCACAGTGTCAGCAGAGCAACATCTGTTCTCCAACTTTCTGTTTCTTCCCATTCTCTTCTTTGAGCTTTTAAACTGCCTCCGGACAGGAGCAGCAATGGACTTAAATGTTCCTTTAGCTGTTTCTAATTCTCTCCCAGGCCCACTCTCCCTCAATAAATGACACATTGTAGAAGGCGTTTTATAGCCTGACATGGTAGTAAGGCCAGAAGGTTCTATAATGGAACCTAACATGGCAATCAAGTTTAAAAAATGTAAAATCACAAAATGAGAGTTAAGTAGTATCATCTATTAAAGAAGGAACAAATGTTTTATTTTTTTTAATATTTATTTATTTATGCATACAAGAGCTGGGGTACAGGCCAGAGGTGTGGGGGGTGAGAGGACTCACCAGAGACAGAGTGGGGAGCAGAACAGGCAGATTGACTGAAATACACTGCTGAGGGGAGCAGCAGGCAAGACAGGAGAGGTCTGCTGTGCCATGTGGGTAGCTCCCTGGCCAACCGGGGATCAAACTTGTACTGCAGTGGTTAGTGATAGCTTGATAGCGCTGACACTTAACCCCTTGCGCCATCAGGGAGGCCTTCAATGTTTTACTTTTACAAGTGACTTCTAACTCTAAAATTTTAACATTTTAAACAATATTCCCTCACAGTTACAGGATAGGCTGTTTAATACTGGGGCTGTTGGATTTTCCCCCTCCAAGTGGAGTTAGGTTTTCTTCACGGATTTAGAAACAAGTGAACATATAATATACTGGATAACTGGATAACTGGATGTACTCGTTTTGTCTTTCCCAGGGACTCAGAGCTGGATGTCCGCAGAGCACTACAGGACTTTTCACCTAACATCATAGTTTTTGAAAGACAGTAATTTGTCAGGAAGCACAGAATGCACCATCAGAAGGAATCTATATCCTCAAACTTTAATAATCATCTATGAGCATATTTAACATAATTTTCAGTTCAGGAAAGAGTATTCTAAATGGAGATCAAGACCACAGCTAAATTGCAAATGTGAAGAATTATCTCATCAACCTTTGTTGCTTTGTGTTGATTAATAAGATTTTAATTGCTGGGTAGTTGCTAGAGAGCTAATTTTATAAGCACAAAGAAGATAACTATCAATGGACAAGTAACAAGACAGTGAAGCGCTTCTGAGCAGAGCCATGTGGACTGCCACTTGTGATGGCCGAGAGACTAGGGTATGGGGACTAGCATCGTGTTCTCACCTCCTCCGTAGATGAGGAATAAATCAGAGATTCCTTTGGCAATTACTTCCCCGCGGCTTACAAAGTCGTCATCTGTAGTATTAACAGACAACCACTAGGTGGCAGCATGTTCTCAGAATTGGTCTCTCAGCGGGAAGCCGCCTGCTGGGCCCTCACTTCCAAACTGTGGAATACATTTATGGGGCTGTGTTTGCCAGTTTGAGTTTAGTGAAAGCATTGGGCTCTCACCGTTCTTTCCTGATCATTTTCAGTCTCTTTTCCTGAATTTATTTAGTTCTTGGGAATTTGGGCTAATAACTAGGACTAGATATAGAGATGATGACGTCCAAGTGGGAATAAACATAATCTGATACAACCTGAGGGAGGGAAATATTGACAGTGACCTTTTATTGAAGGATTGCTATGTATTGAGGGTTTTCCAGGTATTACTTCCAGGAGTCACAGAACCCTGAAAAGTTGCCTTCATTTTATGAGTAAAGAAACTTTGATTTCTTCTTTGTGAAAAGAAAAATCTTCTTTGTGAAGTTCAGCCTAAGAAAAGAAATAAACAGAGGAATCAAAGTACCAATTATTGGTAGAGAAATGATAAAAAGCAATACATGAGGCCTCCCCGGTGGCGCAGCGGTTGAATGCTGGGTTGCGAAGCTGCCCACAGCCTCTGCAGCGCCGGTTCGATCCCCGGCTGCTCCCCGGCCACCAGAGGAGGGTCCCACACGGCGCGCAGACCTCTCCTGCCGCCCGCTGCTCCCCTCAGCAGTGTACTTCGGTCCCTCTGCCTGCTCTGCTCCCCGCTCTGGCTCTGGTGAATTCTTTCACCCTCCCGTGCTTTTGAGTGTAGCCAGCGCTTGTATAAATAAAATAAATAAATCTTTTTTTTAAAAAAAAATCAATATATGACTTGTAAATACATGAAGTTTGTAAATATCTTGAGATTATTGGGGACACTTATTAGGTACACCCTGAAATCTACTCTTCTTTTGAATAGAATTGTTGTGGAAGGGACGTAATCCTGAACACAAAAACGGGTAAGGCAGAATAAAAAAGCAGATACTTGGGGGTTTAACCTTCAAACTCAGAGATTCCTATTGTTGATGATTTTATCTCTCACACTTTAATTTGCTCTAAGTCCTCTGTGGTGATGTCTGGAGGCTCTAAATGAATACAGACCTAAGTAAACTGTTTTGAGGGTTAAGAGACCTAACTTTCCAGGATTATTTACCCCACAGAATTGTACACACAGCAAGAATCAGAATCTTTTAACACTAAGGCATGTGATGGGCTGGACATTCTACTTGATGCCTAGCATGCATCACTGCTCTTCACCATAACTTAATCACAACTCATTAAGCTAAGTAGTAATTTGTTATTCCTTTAGGTTGTCCACTCAGGCAGGTTCAGAAACTCACCACACGGCACACAGCCAGTCAGTGGGTCAGCTGGGGCTCGCCCATACCAGCAGATCAGAGATCCCAGCTTTCAACCTGTGAACGCATTATCTCCACTCAGCCTGCTGCATGAGAACGAGCAAATGCTCTGGCCTTTGTAATACTAATTTAACTTGATTTATAAATTTTAAGTATACCATTAGATTTGATGCTAACCATAACCCAATGAGAAAGATAGTTTAGATTTTCATACCACTCCCTTTCTCTTGCCACACTAACATACATACTTTACCAGGAACGTTTAGGTGATTTGGATTAAGTTCCAGACCTATGAAGTAGCAGACACTGTACTTGAACTGTAAGTTCTCATTCTTGGAAGTTCTCATCACCTCTTTATAGTAAATAACATATCATAGGTAAAATTTCCCCATCAACACTCAGAATAACTTATCCCCAAAGCTTGTTAAAAGTTAACCTGCTGTTAGTAAAAGCTGTATGAACATCAAATAATACCTGCAGATATATATTTTAAATCTCTTAAAACTCTCTACAAAGGAAGAAGAATCTAAAATGCTTTAAAACTTGTTGGTGGGGGAGGGATTGGGGTCAGAATGGGGGGGCTGCAATTGTATGGGGAATACAACAATAAAATTTATTATTAAAAAAAAAAAAAATAAATAAAAAAAAAAAGAAATCATGGATTTAAAAAAATTAAAATAAAAAAAGAAATGCGTGAAAAAAAAAAAAAAAAAAAAAAAAAAAAAAAAAAAAAAAATAAAACTTGTTGGTGAATGATTTTAGAGACAGCGGAAGTGATTCTATTTAAGAGTCAACCCCTGCGCTTTCTGTGTTTTATGGCATATTTGTAACTATAAGTAGAACATTAGTAAAAGTATAAAGATAAGAATTCTATTCAGAGATAGCCTCAAATGTGACAATGAGTGTTCATACAGTCCCAATCTTTCCACTATTCTGTCACTTGTGAAATTCTGGGACAGCCAGTGCCAGGGGAGAGCAAGTCAGGGGGTGTGGAATCCAGAGGGAGGTAAATGGTGTCACCGCACCCTTCTGAACTCCATTTTCCTCACCTGTAACAGGAATAGTTTAGGATTGAAGAGCCCTAAAAAGATAACGAATAATTTCAAAGCAGAATAAAGTCAGGAGTCGTGTTTTATTCATCAGAAGACCCACAATTTCAAATGGTCCAGGCTGAACAGGTTAAGAATTTTCTGGGCCTCCCCAGGGCGCAGCGGTTGAGCGCTGGGTTGCGAGGCTGCCCGCAGCCTCTGCAGCGCTGGTTCGATCCCCGGCTGCTCCCCGGCTACCGGAGGAGGGTCCCACATGGCGCGCAGACCCCTCCTGCCATCCGCTGCTCCCCTCAGCAGTGTACTTCAGTCCTTCTGCCTGCTCTGTTCTCCACTCTGGCTCTGGTGCATTCTCTCACCTTCCTGTGCTTCTGACTGTACCTGGTGCTTGTATAAACAAACAAATAAATAAATAAATATTTTAAAAAAAAAGAATTTTCCATTACTCTTTTTCAAAAGTGAATTCCTACATGGTGAAAACATATTGACACAGATAACAAGTTTTCTTTTAAGTGCCCATTCCTAAGACAGGAATGATGTCTAGTCTCAGGTATTTATTTGGCCGCTGACAATGCTGGTGATAGCTGATTCTTTCTTCCTCTGATGATCGTGTCTCCTCCCGACCCTGCTCTACAGAAAGGCCACCTTGGCTTACGGATGCAAGATGGCGCTCTTTGCCCAGAGATCAGACCTGCTGTTTAGGATGGGGCCACTTTATTCCTCCTCTTTAATGGGCCCCAGATGTTCAGTATAAATGAATGTGAAATGCATGGATATCAAAGAAGCGACTCAAAGGACCACATTCCTTTGTAGGGCAAACTTCATTCAGAATTAAAATTAGAAGAGGAAGAGAAAAAAGAAGGCGGGAGGAGGAACTGGAGGAACAGGAGGAGAGGGGCAGGGGGAGAAGGAAGAGGTGCAGAAGGAGGACGAGGAGAGGGAAAGAAAAATCTTTTAAAAAGTTCCAATGTTTCCAAAAATATTGGCATTTTCTTGTGGACCACACTCACACTGACTTGAAAATCTGGATTCCAAATGAGTGTGACTAAGAGGTGAGCTCTGAGTCTGGCCGTGTCGGCACAACATACTGGGTTTCAGGACCATGTGCCACAGGCTGGTCTAATATGTATCAACATTCACATGGGTCTCTAGTAAAAAATAATGGAGCTACAAATGAAAAACTTAGGATTTAATCAACTCTGTCTCATGTTTAACACAGAGCTCCCAAAAAGCAGGACATGGGGTTTAGACACCTGGGTTAAACTGATGACTTTACAGGATGCATCATTTTACACCTTTCTAGTAATGCAGCTCTCCATGTTCACCAAGTAGAAAGTGCTGGGGTTTTTCCTTGGTCTGGAGCCAAATTGCCTCCTTCTCTCAGCCTCAAAGATTGACTCCATTCTCCAGCTCGTGTACACACCCCCAGTTTATGTCTGAGCATTTACTGTCTCTCATGGAAGCCTGCCTTGGACAGTACCTTTTCTCCCCCGAAGATTTATTAATTTAATTTAATTTAATTTAATTTAATTTAATTTTTTATACAAGAGCTGGGGTACAGGCCAGAGGCACAGGAGGGTGAGAGGATTCACCAGAGACAGAGCAGGGAGCAGAACAGGCAGACTGATGAAATACACTGCTGAGGGGAGCAGTGGGAGGACAGGAGTGGTCTGCTGCACCACGTGGGAATCTCGCTGGCCGGCCAGGAATCGAACCTGCACTGCAGAGGCTGTAGACAGCTTCACAGCACCGTGCTCAACCCTCTGCACCATGGGGGAGGCCCACGGACAGTGCTTTTATTAGATCATTCAATTTCTGTTAAAGTGAAATCTGCCTCTCTGATTTTTTTTTTTTAATTCACCAACAACATAATATCTCAAGAAGCATTTTTGAGAATCTCCCTCTGTCAGTCCCCTTTGGATTTAGGAATAAAAAGACCAAGCAATTATAAATAGTTCAGCTGATCTCTTGGAATTTATAATCCAGTTTGTAGATCTCTCCATTTTTTCCATCTTAATGTCCCTAAGAAATAGGGCACACTCCCTGAGTGACAGTGTCATTCTAGTGCAGACATGTCTCCATCTCAAAAGAGAGAGGGATTGTAACCTGCAGACGTGCCAGTAACTGTGTCTACCCAGGCGATAGCTGCTCTTATGGCTCTATATTCCTCTAGAAGTCCTATCCAATGGAAGGTCAAACATCTGAAGACATCTATTATTTATCCTTGTCCTCACCCCAAATCATTTCTTCTTCAGGCAAAACATGACAGAATTAAAACAATGATTATTGGGCCTCCCTAGTGGCACAAGGGGTTAAGAGCTAACCTGTGAAGCTATCCACAGCCACTGCAGCACGAGTTTGATCCCTGACCAGGGAGCTACCCACATGGCGCAGCAGACCTCTCCTGTCTTGCCCTCTGCTCCCCTCAGCAGTGTATTTCAGTCAATCTGCCTGTTCTGTTCCCCACTCTGTCTCTGGTGAATCTTCTCACCCCCACAGCCCTGGCCTGTACCATGGTTCTTGTATGCATGCATAAACAAATCTTTTAAAAAATAAAACAGTGGTTATTGAATTCTTGAAGAAAAGATTATCTTTCCCCCAAAAGCTGTTGATAACAGCTGCAAATGAGCCCACACCTGTGGTAAATGGAGCCGAATCCACCAGGCCAAACTAATAGCTGAGCAGGAGCAGAGCCGATGAGCAGGGAAAGTCTGAGCCCCAGGCAGTGCCCCGTGTTAGGACCGTCCAGTAGAACATGGTCTACCATGTCCAACCCAAAGTGTGAGGGACTTGGGGGGAGGGGAGGGATGGGCAGAGGCACTTATTGCCTCATCTCCTTGTCTTCTTTCATTCTAAGGACAACAGGTTGTTTCTTCATGCGGGTTGAACAAAAGTAGGAAACAAATTTTGGGTACTGATTGCAAAAATTTAAGATTTTCTGGGGCAGGGTTGGAGAGGGAGAGGTGAGGGCTAGAGACAGAGCTAGAGCTACAGAGAGGGAGAGGAGAAGTCAGGAGCGGGAGGAGCAGGAGGAGGAGGGAAGAAAGAGGGAGAAGGAAGGAAGAAGACAAGTTACGATAAAAATCAGTCCAGCTTATAGAGTTAGAATGTTTATAATGTAAAGAGACAGCTGCATTAAAGGATTAGGCCCCACTGCCTGATTAACATCATTTGATCTTTCGCTATTGAAAAGACCCTGTGTGTTTTCAAAGGCAGTGGGTTTCTTAAATAAAACCAGGAGTCTGAGTTTGCAGAAAGCTGTTAAAAACAACTTATTTTTTTTTCTGTTTAGTAATCTTTGTGTCCTACCTGCTACATAATCTTCAGTTTCCTTCTTTCTGTTATTAGGAGCTGCATCTAAATCTGAAAATTGGGGCTCAGGGAGATTTGATATGAGCAAAACAAACAAACAAAATCATTATGACCTAAATGGGGCAGATCAGATTTTCCCCTTGAATATCATCATAGGGGAGCTTCTTTTTCTGTTTTGTTTTGGATTTATTTTTTAATCCTTTACTCTCCATCTCCAACAATCTCCATGCAATTTCAGTGGGAGAGATTAACACATTATGCCATAGCATTTTCCTGGTTTACTTTCTGTCTTGTTAATCTGCTTTCTTTTTGCAAGTTTTAAGTGAGATGGGTACTCCTCCTAACTTAGATGTTTCCATTGCTCAATTTGGTGCGGCACATCGGTGGGAGGAATGGAGGTCTCCAGGCTGTCATCCAGGCTGTCATCCCAGGGTGTCTGGGCAATGGGCTGGGGAGGGCCCCTGGTCGTTTGGGGGAACCCAGCAGTCGTCATAACTAGTTCAGTCTCTGTGGCCCATTCAGCTCTTGGCATCGCTGCCAAGCCAGCCAACAAAGGACCATTGTAATCCTGACAGTTTCCCAGCATTGACTGGACGGCGCAGACCACCAACCACTCTTTTTGCTTCTACTGTTCACAAGTGAGACCGTGAATGGAAAAAAGTCAGTGGCAAAAATCCCACATCCTGCTGAAGTTGATGTGTGGATGCTTTTCTAGCAAGTGAGTCTCCCTCTCTGAGCTCGTAATCCTCATATCTGGTCCCCCCACCCTTTTTGATGTTTTTAAAAGAGTTAGCTTGAATTATACCACATAATTCTCATCACTGTCTACCAAAAAATTAGATTTAAACTTGGAAAAATAAACATTTGGCATGCAATACCTTTGGAAAATGAGGGGTGTGATAAAAATGAAATGTCATACTTATAAAAAGATAACAAAATAAGCTTCTGAAATAAGCAATAATTCCTACTAGTGCAAAAAAACCAGTGTGATTCTTAAGAAACTGAAGGGAGGGGCCTCCCTGGTGGTGCAAGGGGTTAAGCATCAGCACTATGAAGCAATCCTCTGCTACTGCAGCACTAGTTCATTCTCCCGGCCAGGGAGCTACCCATATGGCTAGAAGACCTCTCCTGTCTCCCCCGCTGCTCCCCTCAGCAGTGTATTTCAGTCAATCTGCCTGTTCTGCTCCTCACTCTGTCTCTGGTGAATCCTCTCACCCCCACACCTCTGGCCTGTACCCCTGTTCTTGTATGCATAAATAAATCTTTAAAAAAAAATTGATGGGCATGTAGAGAATAAGCTTTCAGCTACAAATGGAACAACTTACCTCAATTTCAAATTTTGGGCATGAAACCGAAAGTCTGCCCTTTTCTGTAGAGCAATTCAAGGACACCTTTAACTCTGATTTTTAAGACAGCAATAACTAAAATAAAATCTTTAATAACAAAGTAAATTCAGAAATATTTATTCCTTATTTATTATTGGGTGAAACTTGGGAAATGGTTTTAATAGCCAGCTTAAAAAATGATCTCTCAATACATTTCAATGGAAAATGTGGCATAATTCCACTTATTTAGGTACAAATTATAATAACAGGTGTCTGATTTACTTATTAGTTATCAAATAGTCAAACAAATTATGTTTCACATTGGTAGGGGAGATGGAATGAGGATATGATATTTAAACTGGATCCCCAGTTTCAAAGCAATTTAGCAGGAACTTAATAATTATCCCCTATGTCTTGGTTACCCTACTTCTTAAAACAACTTTTATTTGTTTATGCATTGTACAGATACATATGTAATATTATATTAAAGGCAATAAGGCAGTAAATATAACACTCAGCAAAGTAAAAATAAAAGCAAAAACAGACAATGGAAAACAGAAATCCAAACACAATAAGAATAATAGAGTCAATTAAGTAAATTCTTAACCCTTGATACGCTGCATGATGGATATGAAAAGTGTAGCTATTAAGGGCCTCCCCTGGTGGCGCAGCGGTTGAACGGTTCGATCCCCCGCCTCTGGAGAGGGTCCCACATGGCATGACAGACCTCTCCTGCCGAGCCCGCTGCTCCCCTCAGCAGTGTATTCCGTCAGTCTGCCTGTTCTGTTCTCCGCTCTGGCTCTGGTGAATTCTCTCACCCTCCTGCGCTTCTGACTGTACCCAGTGCTTGTATAAATAAATAAATAAATCTTAAAAAAAAAAAGTGATGTCAGAGAAGTTTGAAGCCCTTTAAAAAAAAAGTGTAGCTATTAAAACTGATGTTTCCAGAGATTCTTGATAATATGAAAAATTGGGTAAGTGGTAGGTGAAAGGATAAGCTATAATTGAGTCGGTGGTAATAATCTTAGCGTACAAAAGGGCAGTATATGCTTATGGTCAGTAGGTTCTGGTTGATTTTTCACTGCACATTTCCACATTTCAAAATTATTCCTCAAATCCATATATCATTTTGGTGATCATAAAAGAAAAAAATTATTTAAAAAACTTTTTTATCTGTTGTAAAAAAACTAATAAGAGGCTCTAAATTTGGAGCAAACTTACTCATGGGGCTTATTTTGTTAAAACACAGTACAAATGCATCAACACCTTAACCAGAAGGCCCTGCTGAGACCATTTTTGAACATGATTAGACTGACTTTCAGTTATTTTATTTTCTTCTTGATCCACGCTTGGAAGTGCACAGCCGGTTGAGCAACATAGCCTGGACTTACTCTTTTCTGGACTTGGTTGAGAGGGATTCTCGGGCCAGAATGCTGAGTTCTCAACTATGGCTGGAATTCTGCCTGCCAGGAGCCTGTGCGCTGGGAAGTAAGTGTCTTCCTGGCAGCCCAGCCACGAGGTGTAACTAAACAGCACAGCTATGCAATCTGTTAGACCAGAGGCCTTTTGCTTCTAAATTTAGCCCAGCATTTCTTCAATTTTGTTCCATAGATAACATGTCACTTTTTTTTTACTAGATTTCCAAAGAACAGGTAGTGGGTGTCTCATAATCACTCATTCAAATAGCAATTTGTCAATATTTTTTGTGTTCCATGGAACTATTTAGCTTAGTAGCTAAGAGCATGAGCTTTGGAGTTGGGGCTACTGTTTTGGTAGCACTAACTTTAGAATAAGGCAAGAGATGAAAAATTGGGGGATCTGTCTCAGGCTCCACATTTAAAATCCCTGTTATGGGCCTCCCTGATGGCACAAGGGGTTAAGCATAGCACTGTGAAGCAATCTGCAGCCTCTGCAGCATGAGTTTGATCCCCAGCCAGCCAGGGAGATACCCACATGGTGCAGCAGACCTCTCCTGTCTCGCCTGCTATTCCCCTCAGCAGTGTATTTCAGTAGATCTGCCTGTTCTGCTCCCCACTCTGCTCTAGTGAATCCTCTCACCCTCTCACATCTCTGGCTTGTACCCTAATTCTTGTATGCATAAATAAATCAATGTTTAAATTTTTTTTTAAAAAAACTATGTTATTTAAAAAAAAATAAAATAAAATCCATGTTATGATTTCTGGGTCAGGAATTGAGGAGTATGCAGGTCAAGGGGGCACCCATCATCTAGGTACCAGGGACTCTGGAATTTCCTGTCCAACAACCTGAGCCTATGTCCAGTCTCCTCAGGGCTCTTTCTGGGTCTGTTCTTCTGAAAGTGCATTGCACTGCTGGGGGATCACTCATGGATTCAAGGGCGATGGGAGGATTGAGGGGGTGGGGGGTGGAGTAGGATTGTAGAAAGAATGAGTGTTGCTGTACACACTGGGACAGAGGCATAGTGAAGACTGAGAACAGTTAGCACAGTACCTGGTAGGCAGTGGATACTCAGCAAATGTTATTACTGATACATTACTTCAGTATATTTTCGACTTAGAGAAAGAGAAATTAATAATCACAGAAAACAGAAGCTTCTAGGGGGACACTTTGATTTTTGGTATCTAAAATGAAGTCTTCTTTTTCAGTAACTGGCTTGTCCTGGCCCAATTCCAATACTCTGTATTCAAGCTAATTACATTCCTCCTCCACTGGATAAATTATTCTTCACTTCCCCCATAAAAATCATCATGTTGTACTTGTGAAACAAAATAGCTTCTGTGTTCTACCACACATGCAGAAAAATTTCAATATATAACCTATTTCTCTGTGTGACTGATTTGAGGGCTGCTTTATGATTTATTTCAGCAAGATGTGAGTTTAATTTAATGGAGTTTCTGAATATGATTGATTCCTTATCAAATGGAACAATATTACAAGATATAGTCTCCTGGTGACTGAACATGGGACAATTTTTTAAGCATTATTTGAATCCAGTCTAAGCAGATGTGTACTATTGGGCTAAACTCTAAGACATTCACCTCATTACTTTTACTATTTTTAACACTAGAGACCTGAGCATTCATGGAATGGTTTACTAAGTGTATTACATTCATCCCAAATAATTAAAAGGTGTGATTTTAAGATAAAACTGGAAAGAACTATGTTGAGGTTTGTTAAGAAGTCATTATTCTTTTTCTCATCTTTGCTCAGAGTTTAGCTCCACTTGGTTGTAAAATTCCTGTTTGGAGCTGTAAGACTGTAATGTGAGTTTCATTTCATGAGATCACAGAGCATAGAATGGGTGGGGAGGGGCTAAATAATAGTAAAAATTTTTCCTGAAGAATAGGAGCTAATGGGCCTCCCCGGCGGCGCAGCAGTTGAGCACTGGGTTGCAAAGCTGCCCGCGGCCTCTGCGGCCCCAGTTCGATCCCCTGCTGCTCCCCGGCCACTGGAGGAGGGTCCCACATGGCACGCAGACCTCTCCTGCCACCTGCTGCTCCCCTCAGCAGTGTATTTCCTCAGTCTGCCTGTTCTGTTCCCCGCTCTGGCTCTGGTGAATTCTCTCACCCTCCCGCGCTTCTGACTGTACCCAGTGCTTGTATAAATAAATAAATAAATAAATCTAAATATATATATATATATATATGTTTAAAAAAAAAAAAAGAATAGGAGCTAAGAATCCGAGGCATAACTGAGATCTCCTGTGCTTTCACAGTCCCGTCCCCATGTTCCCTTGCGAAGTCCTGTTTCCTATCTTGGGAAAGTTTGGGAAGACGGGGAGAATATTTTTTCATTCCTTAGTCCTTACACTTCCGTATTAGGAAGATGAGGACAATAATAGTCTTCATAGTGCTATTGTGAGTATTTATTGCTATACTGTGTATAAAAGCGGTTGACTTAATGCTTGGAACGAGAATCATACTCGTGAAATAGAAACTACTGTTTTAATTAAGAAATCCATATAATTTTCTGTTATACTTCACAGAAAAGAATATGCATAGGTTACATGTATACTCCCTTCCAAAAAAAGGTTTCTCTAAATAAACACGAACCTGTAGAAATTTGCAGGTTAAGTTATTGGTCTTCAGTGATGTCTTCAACATGGTACAGCTAGAATATGAAATCTTATTGAAGTTTTTTGTTCTTTGCAACACTGCAATGCTGAAAACAGAGGGAAGAGTAGTTGCTT